TCTCCTTATGTTTGCATCCCCACTCTCCTTATGTTTGCATCCCCACTCTCCTTATGTTTGCATCCCCACTCTCCTTATGTTTGCATCCCCACTCTCCTTATGTTTGCATCCCCACTCTCCTTATGTTTGCATCCCCACTCTCCTTATGTTTGCATCCCCACTCTCCTTATGTTTGCATCCCCACTCTCCTTATGTTTGCATCCCCACTCTCCTTATGTTTGCATCCCCACTCTCCTTATGTTTGCATCCCCACTCTCCTTATGTTTGCATCCCCACTCTCCTTATGTTTGCATCCCCACTCTCCTTATGTTTGCATCCCCACTCTCCTTATGTTTGCATCCCCACTCTCCTTATGTTTGCATCCCCACTCTCCTTATGTTTGCATCCCCACTCTCCTTATGTTTGCATCCCCACTCTCCTTATGTTTGCATCCCCACTCTCCTTATGTTTGCATCCCCACTCTCCTTATGTTTGCATCCCCACTCTCCTTATGTTTGCATCCCCACTCTCCTTATGTTTGCATCCCCACTCTCCTTATGTTTGCATCCCCACTCTCCTTATGTTTGCATCCCCACTCTCCTTATGTTTGCATCCCCACTCTCCTTATGTTTGCATCCCCACTCTCCTTATGTTTGCATCCCCACTCTCCTTATGTTTGCATCCCCACTCTCCTTATGTTTGCATCCCCACTCTCCTTATGTTTGCATCCCCACTCTCCTTATGTTTGCATCCCCACTCTCCTTATGTTTGCATCCCCACTCTCCTTATGTTTGCATCCCCACTCTCCTTATGTTTGCATCCCCACTCTCCTTATGTTTGCATCCCCACTCTCCTTATGTTTGCATCCCCACTCTCCTTATGTTTGCATCCCCACTCTCCTTATGTTTGCATCCCCACTCTCCTTATGTTTGCATCCCCACTCTCCTTATGTTTGCATCCCCACTCTCCTTATGTTTGCATCCCCACTCTCCTTATGTTTGCATCCCCACTCTCCTTATGTTTGCATCCCCACTCTCCTTATGTTTGCATCCCCACTCTCCTTATGTTTGCATCCCCACTCTCCTTATGTTTGCATCCCCACTCTCCTTATGTTTGCATCCCCACTCTCCTTATGTTTGCATCCCCACTCTCCTTATGTTTGCATCCCCACTCTCCTTATGTTTGCATCCCCACTCTCCTTATGTTTGCATCCCCACTCTCCTTATGTTTGCATCCCCACTCTCCTTATGTTTGCATCCCCACTCTCCTTATGTTTGCATCCCCACTCTCCTTATGTTTGCATCCCCACTCTCCTTATGTTTGCATCCCCACTCTCCTTATGTTTGCATCCCCACTCTCCTTATGTTTGCATCCCCACTCTCCTTATGTTTGCATCCCCACTCTCCTTATGTTTGCATCCCCACTCTCCTTATGTTTGCATCCCCACTCTCCTTATGTTTGCATCCCCACTCTCCTTATGTTTGCATCCCCACTCTCCTTATGTTTGCATCCCCACTCTCCTTATGTTTGCATCCCCACTCTCCTTATGTTTGCATCCCCACTCTCCTTATGTTTGCATCCCCACTCTCCTTATGTTTGCATCCCCACTCTCCTTATGTTTGCATCCCCACTCTCCTTATGTTTGCATCCCCACTCTCCTTATGTTTGCATCCCCACTCTCCTTATGTTTGCATCCCCACTCTCCTTATGTTTGCATCCCCACTCTCCTTATGTTTGCATCCCCACTCTCCTTATGTTTGCATCCCCACTCTCCTTATGTTTGCATCCCCACTCTCCTTATGTTTGCATCCCCACTCTCCTTATGTTTGCATCCCCACTCTCCTTATGTTTGCATCCCCACTCTCCTTATGTTTGCATCCCCACTCTCCTTATGTTTGCATCCCCACTCTCCTTATGTTTGCATCCCCACTCTCCTTATGTTTGCATCCCCACTCTCCTTATGTTTGCATCCCCACTCTCCTTATGTTTGCATCCCCACTCTCCTTATGTTTGCATCCCCACTCTCCTTATGTTTGCATCCCCACTCTCCTTATGTTTGCATCCCCACTCTCCTTATGTTTGCATCCCCACTCTCCTTATGTTTGCATCCCCACTCTCCTTATGTTTGCATCCCCACTCTCCTTATGTTTGCATCCCCACTCTCCTTATGTTTGCATCCCCACTCTCCTTATGTTTGCATCCCCACTCTCCTTATGTTTGCATCCCCACTCTCCTTATGTTTGCATCCCCACTCTCCTTATGTTTGCATCCCCACTCTCCTTATGTTTGCATCCCCACTCTCCTTATGTTTGCATCCCCACTCTCCTTATGTTTGCATCCCCACTCTCCTTATGTTTGCATCCCCACTCTCCTTATGTTTGCATCCCCACTCTCCTTATGTTTGCATCCCCACTCTCCTTATGTTTGCATCCCCACTCTCCTTATGTTTGCATCCCCACTCTCCTTATGTTTGCATCCCCACTCTCCTTATGTTTGCATCCCCACTCTCCTTATGTTTGCATCCCCACTCTCCTTATGTTTGCATCCCCACTCTCCTTATGTTTGCATCCCCACTCTCCTTATGTTTGCATCCCCACTCTCCTTATGTTTGCATCCCCACTCTCCTTATGTTTGCATCCCCACTCTCCTTATGTTTGCATCCCCACTCTCCTTATGTTTGCATCCCCACTCTCCTTATGTTTGCATCCCCACTCTCCTTATGTTTGCATCCCCACTCTCCTTATGTTTGCATCCCCACTCTCCTTATGTTTGCATCCCCACTCTCCTTATGTTTGCATCCCCACTCTCCTTATGTTTGCATCCCCACTCTCCTTATGTTTGCATCCCCACTCTCCTTATGTTTGCATCCCCACTCTCCTTATGTTTGCATCCCCACTCTCCTTATGTTTGCATCCCCACTCTCCTTATGTTTGCATCCCCACTCTCCTTATGTTTGCATCCCCACTCTCCTTATGTTTGCATCCCCACTCTCCTTATGTTTGCATCCCCACTCTCCTTATGTTTGCATCCCCACTCTCCTTATGTTTGCATCCCCACTCTCCTTATGTTTGCATCCCCACTCTCCTTATGTTTGCATCCCCACTCTCCTTATGTTTGCATCCCCACTCTCCTTATGTTTGCATCCCCACTCTCCTTATGTTTGCATCCCCACTCTCCTTATGTTTGCATCCCCACTCTCCTTATGTTTGCATCCCCACTCTCCTTATGTTTGCATCCCCACTCTCCTTATGTTTGCATCCCCACTCTCCTTATGTTTGCATCCCCACTCTCCTTATGTTTGCATCCCCACTCTCCTTATGTTTGCATCCCCACTCTCCTTATGTTTGCATCCCCACTCTCCTTATGTTTGCATCCCCACTCTCCTTATGTTTGCATCCCCACTCTCCTTATGTTTGCATCCCCACTCTCCTTATGTTTGCATCCCCACTCTCCTTATGTTTGCATCCCCACTCTCCTTATGTTTGCATCCCCACTCTCCTTATGTTTGCATCCCCACTCTCCTTATGTTTGCATCCCCACTCTCCTTATGTTTGCATCCCCACTCTCCTTATGTTTGCATCCCCACTCTCCTTATGTTTGCATCCCCACTCTCCTTATGTTTGCATCCCCACTCTCCTTATGTTTGCATCCCCACTCTCCTTATGTTTGCATCCCCACTCTCCTTATGTTTGCATCCCCACTCTCCTTATGTTTGCATCCCCACTCTCCTTATGTTTGCATCCCCACTCTCCTTATGTTTGCATCCCCACTCTCCTTATGTTTGCATCCCCACTCTCCTTATGTTTGCATCCCCACTCTCCTTATGTTTGCATCCCCACTCTCCTTATGTTTGCATCCCCACTCTCCTTATGTTTGCATCCCCACTCTCCTTATGTTTGCATCCCCACTCTCCTTATGTTTGCATCCCCACTCTCCTTATGTTTGCATCCCCACTCTCCTTATGTTTGCATCCCCACTCTCCTTATGTTTGCATCCCCACTCTCCTTATGTTTGCATCCCCACTCTCCTTATGTTTGCATCCCCACTCTCCTTATGTTTGCATCCCCACTCTCCTTATGTTTGCATCCCCACTCTCCTTATGTTTGCATCCCCACTCTCCTTATGTTTGCATCCCCACTCTCCTTATGTTTGCATCCCCACTCTCCTTATGTTTGCATCCCCACTCTCCTTATGTTTGCATCCCCACTCTCCTTATGTTTGCATCCCCACTCTCCTTATGTTTGCATCCCCACTCTCCTTATGTTTGCATCCCCACTCTCCTTATGTTTGCATCCCCACTCTCCTTATGTTTGCATCCCCACTCTCCTTATGTTTGCATCCCCACTCTCCTTATGTTTGCATCCCCACTCTCCTTATGTTTGCATCCCCACTCTCCTTATGTTTGCATCCCCACTCTCCTTATGTTTGCATCCCCACTCTCCTTATGTTTGCATCCCCACTCTCCTTATGTTTGCATCCCCACTCTCCTTATGTTTGCATCCCCACTCTCCTTATGTTTGCATCCCCACTCTCCTTATGTTTGCATCCCCACTCTCCTTATGTTTGCATCCCCACTCTCCTTATGTTTGCATCCCCACTCTCCTTATGTTTGCATCCCCACTCTCCTTATGTTTGCATCCCCACTCTCCTTATGTTTGCATCCCCACTCTCCTTATGTTTGCATCCCCACTCTCCTTATGTTTGCATCCCCACTCTCCTTATGTTTGCATCCCCACTCTCCTTATGTTTGCATCCCCACTCTCCTTATGTTTGCATCCCCACTCTCCTTATGTTTGCATCCCCACTCTCCTTATGTTTGCATCCCCACTCTCCTTATGTTTGCATCCCCACTCTCCTTATGTTTGCATCCCCACTCTCCTTATGTTTGCATCCCCACTCTCCTTATGTTTGCATCCCCACTCTCCTTATGTTTGCATCCCCACTCTCCTTATGTTTGCATCCCCACTCTCCCATCTCCCCCCACCCCACTGGAACCTCCTTCTCTCTGTTTCCCCTGACAGGCTGTTTTCACCAACCTGCTTGTCTACCAGAGCCGGCTCGGGTACGTATCTGCTAGTCCTTGCTCCTTTCTCTCCTTTTTCTTTTGCTGCCCTCTGCTCCCTCTTTCCTCTTCACGTGCGCTGCTTCGTCTCTCGTTCATTCCCCTCACCGCACCGCACCCGACTCCACCCTACTGCCCACCCGCGCCCCACCATACCCTATTGGAGTGTCCTCATTCACATTGCTGTCTCGCCCCACCCCACTCCACCATACTCCACCACATTCTGTCTCGCAGCATTCTCTTCACCACCATCCAGGTGTTTGAAGAAGTGTTTTGAGACGTCTCAAAACAGGACTCAGCATTCGTCAATGTGGCAGTGGGAATCTTACTCGCCCACTCAACCCACCCCACTGCATTTCACTCCACCCCACCCCACCACACTCCACCCCTTGCAGCATTCTCTTCCATCGCGCCAGGGACACCACCGTCCGGGACTCGGCATTCGTCGCCATGGCGGCGGGCATCTTGTTGCTCACGTCTTCCATCTCACTCCACCCCACCCCACCACACTCCACCCCACTCCACCCCTTCCCGTCCCGCCCAAATCCCACTCCACCCCACCCAATTCTCTCAGCATTCTCTTCCATCGCGCCAGGGACACCACCGTCCGGGACTCAGCATTCGTCGACGTGGCAGTGGGAAACTTGTTGCTCAAGCACCCCAATCCACCCACCTGACCCCACTGCACCCCACTCAACCCTACCTACCCCAACGCACTCCACCCCTTCCCATCCCCTCAATCCCTTCAGCATTCTCTTCCATCGCGCCAGGGACACCACCGTCCGCAACTCAGCGTTTGTCGGCGTGGCCGTGGGAAGTTTACTCACCCCACCCCAACCCACCGCACTCCACCCCACCCCACTCAACCCTACTCCATCCCATTGTTTCTCTCAGAATTCTCTTCCATCGCGCCAGGGACACCACCGTCCGCAACTCAGCATTCGTCGACGTGGCTGTGGGCATCGGCAGCGACGTGAATGTGGACATCAAAGTGCAGAACTCGCGCTTCGTGGGGCGCACACAGGCATGCACGTGAGTGATGTTTGGAGGTGCACATCAATCAGTCAGGTAGAGTGCTTCTTACTTGCCCATCAGCAGCAATGTGAATGTGGACATCAAAGTGCAGAACTCGCGATTCGTGGGCCGCGCACAGGCATGCACGTGAGTGTCTAATGGTTCTGTGCAAAGGCAGGCCTCGTGCGGTGGGCATCGGCAGTGACGTGAACGTGGACGTTAAAGTGCAGAACTCTCGATTCGTGGGTCGCACCCAGGCCTGCACGTGAGTGATGTTCAACTTCTGAGAACTTTTGAGATATCTAAAACTCGAGATTCGTGGTGGACACACCCTTCTATGTACGTGAGCGCTGTTTAACCTACCTTGCCTAGCATTGCCTGTTAGTCAACTCGAGTTTTGTCGACTGCACCCAGGCATGCACGCGAGTGACTCGTGTGAAATATGTGCAAAGGCAAACAGTCAGCCAAGTCCCTTTCTGAAGCCCCTCCAGCAGACCTCGAGTCTTGACACATAGACACTCTCCCATGCCTGCATTGTGCTTCTCCTGCCCTCTGCTCCTCACCCTGCCTTCCCCCACCCCACAGGTCACCAGCCAAAGCAGCCTCCGGAGCTGTGTCAGCCAAGGCCCTTTCTGCAGCTTCTGCAGCTTTTCCAGCAGGCCTTGAGTCTTGACACATAACACTCTCCCGTGCCTGCATTGTGCTTCTTGTCCTCTGCTCTTCTCACCCTGCCTTCCCCCACAGGTCACCAGCCAAAGCAGCCTCCGGAGGAGCTGTGTCAACCAAGGCCCTTTCTGCAGCTTCCGCAGCTTCTGCAGCTGACGATACAGCAAGCACCAGCGTGGGCGCTTCTATCTTCCCCAACCAGCCATCGGCCTCAGCTGCTGCTGCTGCTGTTCAGGAGGAGTCTGTTTCATCTCAGCTGCTCCGGTCGTATCTGAATCCGGGAAGCCTTTTGACAGCAACCGCAGCGTCTACTAACGAGGATGTTTTCACCCAGGGAAGCAGCATCAGGGGCAGTATGAGTGTCACCACCACCAATGCTGCTGCTGCCACTGCTACCATTACTGCTACTACCACCACTGCCGACGCTTACAACCTTTTCACCATTCAGAACCTTCCAACCGAAAGCACCTCTCCCACCCTCGACCCTTCAACCCAGGGCACTCCCTCCAATCCTCCCACCGACGGCTATCCCACTCCCATCGCCACCAACCCCTCTTCAAACTCCCCAACCGTTTCAGACAGCTCTGAAACCCCTCTCGACCCCTCATCTGATCCCGCATTTGCAAAAGAGCTGAGTTTTTGGCAAGATGAGGAGGTAGCTTCTATATTCTCCTCTCTTTCCCGAGCCTCGCTGCCCCGGCTTCCCAAGGCTACCCTCTCACGGATCGCCCAGCTTCGGAACAGGCTCGGGCTGTCTAGGTTCGGGCACAGGCTCGGGGAGGGGCTCGGGAACAGGCTCGGGAAGTGGCTCCGAGGTTCGGCAGGGGGTGGTAACCAGAGCAGCGTCGAGCTGAACAGTGTCGCGAGCGTGCGGGCGGCGGTGGTGTCTTTTAGGTTCGGGACGTTTGAGTCGCCGGTCGGCATCGCGCTGAGTCAGCAGCATTGGATGGACCCAGCTGGCAGCGTCAAGATCACCGGATGCTCGTAAGTGGGTTATGAGTAAAATGAACTGTTGTGAAACTCTCTCAAACTAACTGGGGTGGGAACATTGTATTGCGCTGAGTCAGCAGCACTGGCTGGATCCTTCCAGCAGTGTCAAGATCTTGGGATGCTCGTAAGTGTCGTGAAAAATGAGTTGAGTTGGCTAAAAAGTGGAGATCTGCACTAAGTGTTGCACTGTGTGGAGTCAGCAGCACTAGATGGACCCTTCCGGCAGCGTCAAGACTCAAGATCACTGGATGCTCGTAAGTGGGATGGGAAATGGGCCGTGTTTCGAGTCGACTCAAAACCCATATCTGGATGCTCGTAAGTGAAGTGAAGTTGAATGAACTGTTGTAAAGTTGCGGTTAGAGGGTTGCACTGTATTGAGTCGGCAGCATTGGATGGACCCTTCCGGAAGTGTCAAGATATCGGGATGCTCGTAAATGTTGAATGAGTGGAATTATTTTTCAGCACATGCAATGCAACCCAAGCATGTGCATGTAGATGGTGCGTGAGTGGAATGTGTGTGTGTGTGTGTGTGTGTGTGTGTGTGTGTGTGTGTGTGTGTGTGTGTGTGTGTGTGTGTGTTTTACCGAGAATGAGTTGAATGAATGAAATACCACGTGCATCGCTGCCACCCATCATGCAGCTTCAAGCAGCCTGTTATACTGTTTCAAAGCATCTCATCCCCCTCACACCACTTCTTGCACCCTCCTCCCCTCCCCTCCCCTCCTCCTCCTGTCAGGTTCACTCAATACGCCACATGCAATCCCGCCAGCCCTGCTATCGTGGCACAAGCAACCGTCTTTGGAGGGTTTTGGGACACATCCACAGCCACGCAGGTATGCTACGCAGCCCTGCAACCATCTGTGACTGTTTCTGAAGCGCATCTTAGAGCCCTTTCACTGTGATGCAAGCAAGCAACGATTTTTGGCGGCTTTTGGGACACATCCATCCATAGCCACTCAGGTAGGCGCACTAGCCGGGTCTACCTGCAGCAAGAAGCGGTCGGCATCACGCAGAAATCTCCTTCATCTTTCTTTCTGCTTTGCCCCCCACTTTTGCTCCCTTGCCCTCGCCACCCCAGGGTCTGAAGTTTGATGCCACCACCAGTCGGGTCTACCTGCAGCAAGAAGCGGTGAGTATCAAACTCAATCAGCTTGCCTGTAGTTTGTACTAGCCTAAGTAAAAAACCATATTTAGAATTTCACCAACGACACGTCTTTAACTTCTAACCTTAATTGGCGTAAACCTTTCCACCGCCCCCACTCCCTCCCCACCAACCCACCTCTTCCTTTCCCCTCCCCTCCCCACTCTCCCTTCAGAACCCCACCAAGTCCACGTCGCTAGTCTCCAACTTCATGGCCGTTAGGGACATCGACGGAACCCTCATTGGCAGAACTGTCTGATTTCTTACCCCAGTCTTCCCCACCCTCCCCTCGCTCTTCCCGTCCTCCACCACCCCTTCTCAGAAATCCCACCAAGTCCACGTCGCTAGTCTCCAACTTCATGGCCATTCAGCGTCCCCACCCCTGCTGTCTCCCTACTCTCCCCCATTCCCTCCCCACCCTCTTACTGCCCAAACACCTTATCGCAGAATCCCACCAAGTCCACGTCGCTAGTCTCCAACTTCATTGCCGTTAGAGACACCGACGGAACCCTCATTGGCGGCTCTGGGGGCTTTGCCATCGTGCCCTATCTTGCCAAGGTGAGTCAGAGGCTACCGTATATAGTTGTCTCAGATGAGTTAGTAAGTGTCATGTCTTTGGCCCAGCCTCAGTTGACGGAACCCTCATTGGCGCCTGTCTGGAGGCTTTGCCATCGTGCCGTATCTCCCCAAGGTGGGTCAGAGGCAAAGGTTGTGTGATGTCTCAACACACTTGTCCGAGTGCCAGGTCGGCAGGTGGTGCCGCGTCCTTGGTTGCTGGAACCCTCATTGGCGCCTCTCTGGGGGCTTTGCCATCGTGCCCTATCTCGCCAAGGTGAGTCACAGGTCAAGGTTTGGGAAAGACGACTCACAGTTTGGGAAGCCACTGCCGCCTCTGCAGTGAAGGGCAGCGCCCAGCGGCCCCTCTTTCTGTTACTGAAACGCCTTTCCACCGCCCCCCACTCCCCTGTTTTCCCCATCCAGCCTCCCACCACTGTGGCAGCTAAGAAGCAGAACAGTCTCAAGGCAGGGAGGAAGCCAGCAGGCCCTCTGTCAGGCTGCCAGTACAGCGACCTCTCGGTGGGGTTCACATGCCTCTTCTCTCCCCCACTCTCCTCTGTTTTCCCTCCTCTCCAGCCTCCAGCAGCTGTGGCAGCCAGGAAGCAAAACAGCCTCAAGGCAGGGAAACGGACAGCAGGGCCCCTCTCAGGCTGCCAGTACAGCGACCTGTCGGTGGGGTTCACATGCCCGGGCACCTGCTTCCACTCCTTCTCCGCCACCTTCTATGAAGCCACCGCCACTGCTGCAGTGAAGGGCAGGGAAACTCCCTCTTAGGGCCATTTCTGTTACTGAAACACCTCCCCACCGCTCTCCACTCCCCTGTTTTCCCGTCCCATCCAGCCCCCCGCCACTGTTACGGCGAAGCAAAACAAGGCGGGAAAGAAACCAGCGGGGCCTCTATCAGGCTGCCAGTACAGCGACCTGTCAGTGGGGTTCACATGCCCGGGCACCTGCTTCCACTCCTCCGCCACCTTCTATGAAGCCACCGCCACTTCTCATGAAACTCCTCCCCACCGCTCTCCACTCCTCTGTTTTCCCCATCCAGCCTCCCGCCACTGTGGCAGCCAAGCAGAGGAGCAAGCTGACAGGGAAACGACCAGCAGGGCCTCTCACAGGCTGTCAGTACAGCGACCTCTCAGTGGGGTTCACATGCCCGGGCACCTGCTTCCACTCCTTCTCACTTCCCCTTTTCCGCCCCTCTCTCCGCTTTCCCCTCCCATCCAGCCTCCCGCCACTGTCGCAGCCAAGAAGAACAGCCTTCCCTCAAGAAGACAGCCAGCAGCGGGCTGCCAGTATCAAGACCTGTCGGTGGGGTTCACATGCCCGGGCACCTGCTTCCACTCCTTCTCCGCCACCTTCTATGAAGCCACCGCCGCTGCTGCAGTGAAGGGCAGGGAAACTCCCTCTTAGGGCCATTTTTGTTACTGAAACACGTCCCCGCCGACCCCCACTCCCCTGTTTTCCCCTCCCGTCCCATCCAGCCACCTGCCTCTGTCCCAGCGAAGCAAAACAAGGCGGGGAAGAAACCAGCAGGACCCCTCACAGGCTGCCAGTACAGAGACCTCTCGGTGGGGTTCACATGCCCGGGCACCTGCTTCCACTCCTTCTCCGCCACCTTCTATGAAGCCACCGGCGCTGCTGCAGTGAAGGGGAGCAGCCAGCGGCCGTACAGCTACCTGGTGATCACGAGAGACGAAGATGGAGCGCAGTTCACGGCTTATGGGTTCCAAAACGACCCGATCCCAGTCATCCCCGCCAAGACCTCTGTCCGCAGGTGAAGTCAATTCCCACTAGCCACTAGCCCTGCCGCGCAGTTCACGGCTTATGGGTTCCAAAACGACCCGATCCCAGTCATCCCCGCCAAGGCCAGTGTTCGCAGGTAGAGTCAACTCCCACTAGCCACTAGCCCTGCCGCTGCTGCTGTGAAGGGGAGCAGCCAGCGGCCGTACAGCTACCTGGTGATCACGAGGGAGGAGGATGGGGCGCAGTTCACGGCTTACGGGTTCCAGAACGACCCAATTCCAACCATCCCCGCAAAGACCTCTGTTCGCAGGTGGGTGTGTAGGGTCTGGGGTTGCTGCTGCTGCTCCTGCCGAAGCTGCTGCCATGAAGGGGAGCACTCAGCGGCCGTACAGCTACCTGGTGATTACCAGGGACGAAGATGGAGCGCAGTTCACGGCTTACGGGTTCCAAAACGACCCCCTGCCAACCATCCCCGCCAAGGCCTCTGTCCGCAGGTGAGTCCTCAGGTCTGTTGTGTCAGTTAGCAGGCCTAGTTTGAAGATGGAGCGCAGTTCACGGCTTACGGGTTCCAGAACGACCCCCTGCCTGTCATCCCGGCGAAGGCCTCTGTTCGCAGGTGGGTGTGTAGGTTGTGCAGGGCCAGGGGTTGCTCCTGCTGCTGCTGTTGCGGCTGCTGTTGCAGCTGCTGCTGCTGCGGCTCTTTCTGCAGTGAAGGGCCAGGGTCGCAGGTGGGTGTGTAGGTTGTGCAGGGCCAGGGGTTGCTCCTGCTGCTGCTGTTGCGGCTGTTGCTGCTGTGAAGGGCAGCGGCCAGCAGCCATACAGCTACCTGGTGATCACGAGGGAGGAGGACGGGGCGCAGTTCACGGCTTACGGGTTTCAGAACGACCCCCTGCCTGTCATCCCCGCCAAGACCAGTGTTCGCAGGTGGGTTTCCTGTCTTTAGTGCCTCATTTATCGTCCAATCGCCAGGTTTCTAGGAGGTGGAGAGCTTGTATTGTAGGGTCAGGGGCTGCTGCTGTAGCAGCTGCTGTGAAGGGGAGCAGCCAGCGGCCGTACAGCTACCTGGTGATCACAAGGGAGGAGGACGGGGCGCAGTTCACGGCTTACGGGTTTCAGAACGACCCCCTGCCTGTCATCCCCGCCAAGACCAGTGTTCGCAGGTGGGTTTCCTGTCTTTAGTGCCTCATTTATCGTCCAATCGCCAGGTTTCTAGGAGGTGGAGAGCTTGTATTGTAGGGTCAGGGGCTGCTGCTGTAGCAGCTGCTGTGAAGGGGAGCAGCCAGCGGCCGTACAGCTACCTGGTGATCACAAGGGAGGAGGACGGGGCGCAGTTCACGGCTTACGGGTTTCAGAACGACCCCCTGCCTGTCATCCCCGCCAAGACCAGTGTTCGCAGGTGGGTTTCCTGTCTTTAGTGCCTCATTTATCGTCCAATCGCCAGGTTTCTAGGAGGTGGAGAGCTTGTATTGTAGGGTCAGGGGCTGCTGCTGTAGCAGCTGCTGTGAAGGGGAGCAGCCAGCGGCCGTACAGCTACCTGGTGATCACAAGGGAGGAGGACGGGGCGCAGTTCACGGCTTACGGGTTTCAGAACGACCCCCTGCCCGTGATTCCTGCCAAGTCAAGTGTTCGCAGGTGGGCTTCCTGTCCGTTATTTAATCATCTCTCAGTTACCGTCCAGTTACCTAGTGTTTGGGTGCGTAGGCACAGCTGCCGCTGTTGTCCCGCCTCCAACCCGGTCTTCCGCCTTCCCATTCACTCTTCTCTGCTTCCCTTTCTCTTTCTCACTCTCTACCCCACACGGGTGGATATCAGCCACGCTTGAAGCCGGAATTCACATACCGTGCCCATGTCGTTGCTCCCCTCTACCGCCAACTGACTAACCTCCCTTGTTTCTTCATCTGTTTCCGTCTTCCTTTTGCTCTCCTTATCTCTTATCCCAACAGGTGGATATTACTTCCCTCTTCTTCTTCCTTCTCCATCCCACACAGGTGGATATCAGCCACGCTTGAAGCCGGCTTCACCTACCGCGTGCACCTCGCTGCTCCCCCATCCAGTCCTACATTCTAGCCTGATCTTTCCCTTTCCTCCTTCCGTACTTGCTTCTTATCCCACCCACACAGGTGGATATCAGCCACGCTTGAAGCCGGCTTCACCTACAGCGTGCGCGTCGTCGCTCCCCCGTCCAACCCGGCCTTCTATCCGGATCGCATTGCGGTGCAGCTGAGGGACGTGGGGGGGTGCGAGGGGCGAGTGAGAGTCTTGTTTGAGCCGAAAGACTCAGGGACCAACTGGGTCGCCACCTACAGCCCTCCCACCAGGTGAGCTGAGCTCTTCACCTTGGCCATGCATGCAACCCAGTTGACCAACGGTGAAGAGCTCAAGTAAGCAACGGTGTCGCTTTTGAGAATTCTCAAAGGGGGCGAGTGAGGGTGCTGATTGAACCCAAGGACGCTGCCACCAACTGGGTCGCCACCTACAGCCCTCCCACCAGGTGCGTTGTTGCCTCTTACCTACCACCTTATAGCCCTCCCGCCATGTGAGCGGTGCAGCTGAGGGACGTGGGGGGGTGTGAGGGGCGAGTGAGGGTGCTGTTCGAGCCGAAAGATGCTGCAACGAATTGGGACGCTACGACCAACTGGGATGCCACCTACAGCCCTCCCACCAGGTGCGTTGTTTGCCCCTAGCCCTTCCTACTCCCCTGCTCCCCTCTCTTCCCCTCTCTGCCACCAACTGGGTCGCCACCTACAGTCCTCCCACCAGGTAGCTGCTTGTCTCTCTCGCCTATAGTCTCTCACCTACAGCCGCCAGCCCTTATAGCCCACCAGGTGCAGCTGAGGGGCGTGGGGTTGTGTGAGGGGCGAGTGAGGGCACCCATTGCTACCAGAGCTACCTTTGCTCCCACACTCACCCACTCTTAGGCCTAAACTCACTCTCTCTTTTGAGTCGACTCAAAAGTCACTTTGAGTCGACTCAAAAGCTGAGGGACGTGGGTTGGTGTGAGGGGCGGGTGAGGGCACCCATTGCTACCAGAGCTACCTTTGCTCCCACACTCACCTACTCTTATGCCTAAACTCACTCCCTCTTGCTCTCTCGCTGCTTTGCTTGCCCCCTCCCGTTGCTTGCCTCTCCTCCTTCCCCCAGGTGTGCCGCAACGGTGCTCGCCCCATCCACCACCTACCAGAGCTACCTCTGCTCCAACACCCGTGACCCATCAACTCTTACCGTTAAGCTCACTCATTCCCTTACGCTCTCTCTCGTTGCTTGCCTCTCCGCCTCCTTCGACCAGGTGCGCATCAACGGTGCTCGCCCCATCCACCACCTACCAGAGCTACCTTTGCTCCAACAGCCGTCGATTCCTGGCCCTTGATTTCGGCGCTCCGGAACAGTCGTACCAGATGCTTGGCCTTGCTCGTGCCGCCTCGTGCTCCTCTACAACTTGCTAGGTGGTTACTCGCTGTAGCTTTGATCTTTTCTTTCAAAGATTTCAGCACGATTTCACAATATTACCAGCTAATTTTTTCTGTGTCGAGCACCTGATGCTCATTGGGTTCTTCCTCCCACATTTAGAAAATCCCCCTCTTTTCTTCATTATTTTGGTGAAATGCACCGTAATGGAGCGTTATAGCTGTACTCCATTGGGTTATAAAAGCAATTCCTTTTTAAACCGCACTAAACAGGTCTCGCAATTATGGCCTAGGCCACTGCTAGTAACGAGGGTAATTGGCGGGTGTGTCTGTCTGTCCGTCCGATGTCGCTTCTTTACGCATGCTCGCTGAACCCTATTTCGGTAGTAGAGTGCACAGCTGCTACTAAGCTCGGGAGTAGATCTGCAGCTGCCACTCTGTCTCGATCTGTGCAGTGAAGGAATCACGTCGTTCTGCGTCGTGAATTCTGTCTCAACTTTTTAATCGATTGGCGTTTTATTTGAGGTGTTACGTCGGACCTGGCGGACTGTTGTTCTCTCGCGTCGTCATCGAGAAAGGTGTAAGACGTTCGCGTTTGAGTTCCCTGCCAATTCTGCTTCCTCGGGTGCAGAAGGGATCTCTCGAATCGAAAATACTATAATTCGTAGAGTCCAGCCCTGATTGATCTGTAAGGGATGGCGAAACTCGAGCTGGAAGCGGGAGATTATGTAGAATTAACAGAGGAACGACTGTCAGTGGATAAATACGTCGATTTGGTTAGGGATCCTGGTGCTGGAGCCATCTCGACGTTTCTAGGAACGACTCGCGACTCGTTTGAAGACAAGATTGTGACCCGGCTCGAGTACGAGGCTTATAACGAGATGGCGATCAGGCAAGTGTATCCCCGTTGGCCACTTCTCCCGCGCTTCCCCCCTTCCTTCCCCCACCCTCCCCCCACCCACACCCCCACTCCCCAGGCCCCTCGCCCCGCCTCTCTCCGCCTGCCACCTCTCCCTTTTCCGCCCATCCTCTCTCCACCCCACTCGCTTTCTTCTCCGTTCCTCCGTGCTCCCCCTCTTCCCGCTTCCAGTGCTCCCTAATCCCTAGAGTCCATCGACATTGCAATTCTGTTCCGCACTCTTCTTCCCCCCTTTCCCGGCCCCTCCCACCCCACGATTTCCCAATCTTTTCCCCTCCAACCCTCTCCCTTTTCCGCATTATCCGATGTGCCGCGATCCTTACACCCTAGCAGCACTTCTTTCTGTACCTGACTCATCTTCCCCCCTTTTTTTCCTTTCACTCTCCCACCCCCGTGTTGTTCCAACGGCTCGTTCATTTTCAATTTGTCCTCCAAATTTCAGTGTCCTGAAACAAATCATCCAGTCAGCACGTGCCAAGTGGCAGCTGAAGAAGGTGGCAGTCGCTCACCGCTTGGGAGTGGTCCCTGTATCGGAGGCCAGTGTAATCATTGCTGTTTCCAGCGCTCACAGAAAAGAATCCCTCGCTGCAGTTACATTCCTCATAGACGAGCTAAAAGCGAAGGTGCCGATATGGAAGAAAGAGGTGTACGCTGGACGTATAGACGATCAGGTAAAAATCGGTAGTGGTACAGATGCTGAAGGTGGTGGTGGTGAGGGTGTTGCACTTGGCGGTGGCACGAGTGGGGAGGAAGAAGCTGTTTGGAAGCAGAATGTCGAATTCGTTGCGTCTCATCCAGGGAGCTCGAAAGGACATCCTCCAAGTTTTTGATACAGTGGTAAGTGTCAAGTGAAGGTGCTAGGGTAGGGATGTTTACTCTCGGGATTACAGGGTAGAGAGTTGTACTATAGATTCTATACAGTACGGGCAAATAAATCAATCAAAGGTGAGCGGACCTTGGTACCAGACACCCTAAAGGTATGAGGAGGCTTGTTGGGAAGCCTCCTAGATTATTTGAGGAGATCAGGACTCAGCAGAAGATAGCACATCACGGGGTGTCATCAGGCAGAGCAGAGGCTTTTCAGGATCACGTCAAGAGGAGCACATCAGGCAGTGGCGGGGAGCAACAGCCGCAGTTCCCGCATCAGCGGCATATCAGAAAGGCGTCAGGGGCATGTCAAGAATGTCATGTGAACCAGGAGGAATCGCGCTTTGGAGAACATCACTGGAGCGAAGCTTCAGCTTCGCCGCAGCGACCACTGGCAGACAAATCCGATTGTCATCCGCAAGCTGGCAGCACCCTCAAAGGCTATGGTGATGGCGAATGGTTGACCTCCACGTCTTCAAATTTTAGGGAACGAAACAATCGTTTCGCCGCCTGTGGCGACATTTTTCTCCGCAGGTCTGGTTTGGGCTTCGTCGGCGCGTTTGGGCAGACGCGAGGCGGCGATATCTTGAAGCGCTTTACCTTCGGAGTGGCTTGAATCAACGGAGAAGTACCTTCGGCGTCTGCGGGAGACACGGGAATTAGAGAACGATCATGGGTGGAGCGTCGACGCAGTTAAAATACAAAGAAACAAAGCATGAAAGTTTTCCGGGGCACTAGAAATTGCTCCATATGCGAACGCGAAGCAATTCTGCATAGCGTCGGGGCTCCGAAAAAGAAGAGGTAGCGGCGGCAGAGTACTATTTTCCCAACAAAAACGGTCGAACTCCCTACCCTGTCTTCTTTCCGTCGTGGAAGAAGAGGCGTCGTCCGTCTCGAAAAAGCTCTTGTCTGTCTCGGGAGTTTCACGCGATGACGACGGTTGGCAGAGAACAGTACTACTACTACTAGGCGCCAACAACGCCAACGAAATTCGACACATATCACAGTAGTAAGCTAACGGTTAATGCACTGGTTTTAAGTGGTTAAAGGAGTCATAGGATCCTTATTCTACAGCGCGTGCATCAGCTCAAAGTCTGCCAAAATGCCTCAGTGATCAGTACTCATTCATTGCTAGAATGCCTCAGGAAAACGTGCGACTATGTACAAGCAAGCACATGCGTGCAAAGTTTACTGCGGGTGGAACGTACATATTCAAGCACCCAGAGGTTCGACCCCTGCGGTGCGCGGAATGATTGTGCAAAGCCTGAAGTGAGGGCGCGTCATTTTCATATCAGGTCAGCTCAATTTACGCAACCAGAAACGAGTTTCATAGGGTAACCAGCTAGCAAGGGTTAAACGTGTCCCCACACACAAATGCGCCAAATTGCGGGGACGCTATACGAACAGGTCCCCACACGAAACAAATTCGTGCAGATCTCAAAATTTAGCGGGGCCCCAGCAGCTGTCCCTCTCAACAGATGTGTCCCCCTGCAAATTCAATGACCAGATTCGGTTTCCAGCACGTATCAGAAACGTTTTATCGATCTGTGCAGAATTCGAAATTTTGTGTCATTTTGCCGAAACGAACGCGGGGGACCCGCCCTGAGTGGACAAACATTTGTATTTGCTTGCGGATTGTATTGCCATTCGTATTTGTGAGCGAACAAGCATGGCCCCTTGAAACACTTCGAGATGAGAGGGATCTGGCACGAGAAATGGTAGGAAGTTGACGGGGCAACGAGCGACGACCAACTGTGATGTGACACAAGCTTCCATCAGAACGTTTTCTCCTTGACCGCGTCCCAGGTACCAGAGTGAGGAGAGGAGATTGCTTCCTGGGAAGTGGCTGTACAGTTCTGTACTCGAGCAAAATAAGGGCGCATTCCTATGGCGGGTCTGACATCAGGTCATCCGCCCTTAGTCTCTGATTTGTCTCTTCTCAATGTTGATTTGCCCCTATTTCGAACCACTTCGGGTCTTCCGAGCTTCTAAGGACGGATGACCTGATGTCAGACATGAGTTAGGAATTCGCCCTTATACTGTATTTGAAGTACAGTACATACGCATGCGCAGCACCCTACACGTACCCCTTTTGTGAACTGTATGCAATGTCAACGGGGCAACAGACCCCTTTTGCTCCTCTCCTTCCTTGTTCCTTCTAGCAATCGTGGACTGTCCTTTTGGCCCATGCACAGATACACATAGCCCGCGCTATTTTCACGCCCTGCAACTTGTTTCGGCAAGCACCTTGAACCCGATTTTAGCTTTTACCAGTAAACTCCCAGAATTTGAAGGCTACAAACCACTCAGCCAAGTGTCGAGATATTAAAAAAACCGCACTCTACCAAGGCGACTCGACCATAGTTTATTGTGACCCGTTTTTCATCCCCTCTAACTCGTCAGAGATGTCTGAAACGTACCCTCTTTAAAACGAAAGCATTCAAAACAGCCTTTTAATATCGGGTAAATCAAAAATAATTACACCGGTGGGTGAAAATGGCCCTAGTGAATTTGGCGCGGGCTAGGTGTACCTGCCCATGCCACTTTTCGTTTACGGACGCCCTGTCATTTCGGGGTGAGGTGTCCGCATCTTTAGCCACGTAGACTCTTTGCAAAGCAGTATTTTCGCAGGTTCGTGCAGGATTTGCGACCCGCTCCTTCACTCCAAGAACATCAGATCCTAAACATCATCGTCACCATGTACTTTCAAACCCTTACTGGTGGAGCTCGACTGTCAACACTCCCACGCCCTTTCAAAGGCAGTCCGGAAATTTTTAAGAACTTGGATCATAGCCAGATACCCCAGGGCACATTTTGGTACACGTACAGTTGCAAATATGCAAATGCGCTGTCGTTAGGCACCCATCTGGTCCCAACAGCCTCATCATTTATCCACTTGCACGTGATCTACGTGTCTGCTGCTTGGGGATGTCGTTTTGGGACCTCGTGCTCACAACAAGTCGCTCAGGGCCAGGGCTGTCGCTTGCCTTGGCCGAAGAACTTAGCGGGCTGGGGTGGCCTAATTTCAGCCCTTAATTTTCCGGGTTGAGTCCAATTTTAACACTAAGATTCAAGGCGACACATCCTTCTACACTTGAACGTAACACATCGTGAAGTAGGTTGATGTTCAAGTACACCTGAGGGCTGCGGTACATAGCAGATACATAACCCGACCTTCAATGCAGCGGGGGACCGGTAGGTGAGGTATTTTACGTAAGGGAATGAATAACAAGGGAACGAGGGGGAGTGGGGAGGGGAAGGGCTCTGAACGTATACGTGAAATCCGGGTTAGGAGCTAGACCAGCCCTTAAAACCCGCAGCCTGAATTACATTTTTGAGTCAACGCTAGGTGCGGGTTGGGTTCGGTTTGGTTTGGGTGAGGTTTGTAAGAATCGCGAAAGTTGCGAGCTAACGAAAACAAAAAGCGACAACCTGAGGGCTGGAGCAGAGTAGGAAAATCGGTGCGACATAACAGCTAACAACTCATTCACTTGTGGAAATACAAGCAACACACACCAGCTAGGGTTTTTGGGTGAACACATCTCAGACAACCCGAATTAGTAGATGCAGCGCGTATATGCAATCGAAGGGAAACGCAGGCGCAAGATGCGAGTGTCAAGCACGGAGAAAATGGGCGTGAGGAGATGAGAAATTAGCACTTTGCCGACCTCGCGACCCTCGACTGTCGCCCTTGCTCTCTCCGCCCACCGCCCTCGCCTCGCCCGTCGCCCTCGCCACCCCCGGCCCGTCGCCCTCGCTTCCTCCGCCCGCCCTCGCTTCTCCCATCCCGTCGACCTCGCTTCCCTTGCCCGTCGCCCTCGCTTCCCCCGTCGTCGAGAAGATGAGGAGGAGATGGGGTGATGAGGGGATGGGGTGAGGAGATGGGGTGAGGAGGAGATGGGGTGAGGAGGACGGATGGGGAAAGGACGGATGGGGAGAGGAGGGATGGGGAAAGGTGAGGAGGGATGGGTTTGGGGCGGAACGGGGATGGGGAGGTGAGGGATGGGTAGAAGAGGAATGGTAAGATGAGAGACTGGGAGGTGAGGGATGGGGAGATGGGGGATGGAGAGGGAAGGGATGGGGAGGCGGGGATGGGGAGGCGGGGATGGGGAGAGGAGGGAACGGGGAGAGGAGGGGACGGGGAGAGGAGGGATGGGGAGGGAAGGGATGGGGAGGGAAGGGATGGGGAGGGGGGGGGAAGGGATGGGGAGGGAAGGGATGGGGAGGGAAGGGATGGGGAGGGAAGGGATGGGGAGGGAAGGGATGGGGAGGGAAGGGATGGGGGGGGGAAGGGAGGGGGGGAGGGGACGGAGGGGGGAGAGAGGAAGGCGGGGCAGGTGGTGAGCGTGGGCGACGGAGGGAAGTGAGCGTGTGCGGAGTACGGGCAGTGAGCGTGGGCGACGGATGGGGGGAGAGTGTGTGCAGCGGGGTGGTGTGAGCGTGGGCGACAAGAGGGAAATCGCGTGGCCGAGCGAGGGGGGTGAGTGAATGCGGGCGGGAGGGAGAGAACGTGGGCGGCGGAAGGGGAGTTTTCGCGCGCGCGACGGGAGGGAGTGCGCGCGGACGGAGCTGGGGTGAGGAGGAGATGGGGTGAGGCGGAGATGGGGTGAGGCGGAGATGGGGTGAGGCGGAGATGGGGTGAGGCGGAGATGGGGTGAGGCGGAGATGGGGTGAGGCGGAGATGGGGTGGGGTGGATATGGGGTGAGGCGGATGGGCGACGGCAGGGGAGTGAGCGTGGGCGACGGATGGGGCCGAACGCGACGGGAGGGAGCGAGCGTGGGCGGCGGAAGGGGAGTGAGCGAAGGCGACGGGAGGGGGGTGAGCGTGGGCGACGGAGGGGAGTGAGCGTGTGCGACGTACAGGCAGTGAGCATGGGCGACGGATGGAAAATGAGCGTGCTTCCCGTCGGAGTGAGCGTGGGCGACGGGAGAGAGTGAGCGTGGGCGACGGAGGGGAGTGAAGATGGGCGTTTGAGAGGAATGAGCGTGTGCGACGGAGGGGACAGTCGCGACGGGAGGGGAGTGAGCGTGGGCGGTGGAAGGGGAGTGGACGAACGCGACGGGACGGAGTGCGCGTGGGCGGCGGAAGGGGAGTGAGCGAGCGCGACGGGAGGGAGTGAGCGTGGGCGGCGGAAGGGGAGTGTGCGAACACGACGGTAGGGAGTGAGCATGGGCGACGGGGGGGAATGAGCGAAGACGACGCGAGGGAGTGAGCGTGGGACGATGGAGGGGAAAGAGCGAAGGCGACGGGAGGGGAGTGAGCGTGGGCCACGGGGGGGAATATGATTACGCGACGGGAGGGATGAGCGTAGGCGACAGAGGGAGTAACCCTAATGCGACGGGAGTGCGTCACAACGAGCAAAGATCGCGATTGAGACTGCACTAGTTGGAGTAAAAAATCAAAATCTAAGCAGAGCGCTAGGCTAATAGTAGGCTAGGACTCCCCGATTTCTGTCGACCTGAATTACAAATTTCTTGGCTAGGTGTGCACACCCACAGCCAAACTCGTTGCCAGGCACCCTTGCGATCCTACCCTGCGTTGCGTGCGACTTCCTCACGTTTACTGGTTGGACACTTGGTAACCACCCTTGTAGCGACAGGCCTGCTCTGGGCCATTCGATCTGGCAGACTGGCACCCCATCCTCACCAAAGAGAGCCACTGGTTCCGCCCACCCAGACCTACAGTACCATGATGCCATCCATTGGTTCTCCCAAGTACACCCCATCCCCACCAAATTTGCAATTTCGCATGTTCTACAACGAGACTGTCCGACCACATCAGGGACTTCTCCGATAACCAAACTAGTTTCCCTTGACTCCTGAATACTAAACATTCTCCCAGTGAAATCTTGGTATTTGATGGGCAAGCAGGAATGATTAGTCAGCGAACTTTGGAGTGTTCCATCTGACATCGCAGCACATTGGTGCATATTATCCAGGTGCTCTATAGTCGAGCACTTGACGCCTTTTTGGCATGACAATGTTGATTCCGTCAATCGTTTCTCGCAAATATTTTCATTCGTCCAGGAAATCGCGGCTCGACTAGGAGATTTGTTCTTCGCTGACGTGTAAATCTATTCCACGTTTGAAATGTGGGCTGCAGGTTGGAATTGTCAATAATAGTGAATCAGCTTTTTACGGGTTGACAATGTCAACGCAAGTGGCAGTCTATCAGGCTTTCTAGAACTCAACGTTCGTTTCTTTGCCTCGCTGTACAAAACAACCCCAGCTACAGTGATTCCGTAGCCTATCATCCCTAGTATAGTTACGGGGTTACGGAATATGATAATTGAGACGACTACAGCAACTGCACCCTTGGCATTTCCGAGGACCTGCCAACAAGGCACGAATACAACAGCGCAAAAGGAGAGTGGTAGATATTAAAAGAGATGACAACAGCAACTGCACCCTTGGCATTTGTGATCACCTGACATACGATAAAAAACAGAGTGAGAGTACCTGGAGAGAGTGAGAGTACCTGGAGAGAGTGAGAGTACCTGGAGAGAGTGAGGGTACCTGGAAAGAGTGAGAGTACGTGGAGAGAGTGAGCGTACCTGAAGAGTGAGTGCGCTCGTGTAACGGGTAACCAGAAAGTTGGTGAGATTGACAAAAAACGCAGTAGAGGAGTTGACCAGGAGCAGAGGGATAATCCCCCAGTCTTCGCCTGCTTTACTCGCAGCAACGGCAAGCACGGTTGGTTCGATGATGAGAGTGGCGGGGAGGAGGAGGAGCACTGCAATGGGCGCCATGTAGAAAAGCAGGTTCATGGAGTTGAGCTGATGGCTGGAGAGGGGGAGATGGAAAAGGGGAGAGACATAGGGGTTGGGGCGGTGTGAGAGTGGCGGGGAGGAGGAGCCCTGCAATGGGAGCCATGTAGAAGAGCAGGTTCATGGAGTTGAGCTGATGGCTGGAGGAGAGAGAGATGGGAAAGGGAGGAGTGAAGGGGGAGTGAGAGAAGAGAAGGGTTGGAACACATCGTAACAGGGCAAGGAGGAGGAGCACTGCAATGGGAGCCATGTAGAAGAGCAGATTCATGGAGTTGAGCTGATGGCTGGAGGGAGGGGGTGGGCGGGAATCAGAATGGGAGATAGAGTGAGAACGAGAGAAGCGTCACAAGACAAGGTTACGAGGGAAGGAGGAGCACTGCATTGGGCGCCATGTAGAAGAGCAGATTCATGGAGTTGAGCTGATGGCTGGAGGGAGGGGGTGGGCGGGAATCAGAATGGGAGATAGAGTGAGAACGAGAGAAGCGTCACAAGACAAGGTTACGAGGGAAGGAGGAGCACTGCGTTGGGCGCCATGTAGAAGAGCAGATTCATGGAGTTGAGCTGATGGCTGGAGGGAGGGGGTGGGCGGGAATCAGAATGGGAGATAGAGTGAGAACGAGAGAAGCGTCACAAGACAAGGTTACGAGGGAAGGAGGAGCACTGCGTTGGGCGCCATGTAGAAGAGCAGATTCATGGAGTTGAGCTGATGGCTGGAGGGAGGGGGTGGGCGGGAATCAGAATGGGAGATAGAGTGAGAACGAGAGAAGCGTCACAAGACAAGGTTACGAGGGAAGGAGGAGCACTGCAGTGGGCGCCATGTAGAAGAGCAGATTCATGGAGTTGAGCTGATGGCTGGAGGGAGGGGGTGGGCGGGAATCAGAATGGGAGATAGAGTGAGAACGAGAGAAGCGTCACAAGACAAGGTTACGAGGGAAGGAGGAGCACTGCGTTGGGCGCCATGTAGAAGAGCAGATTCATGGAGTTGAGCTGATGGCTGGAGGGAGGGGTGGGCGGGAATCAGAATGGGAGATAGAGTGAGAACGAGAGAAGCGTCACAAGACAAGGTTACGAGGGAAGGAGGAGCACTGCGTTGGGCGCCATGCAGAAGAGCAGATTCATGGAGTTGAGCTGATGGCTGGAAGGGGGGAAGTAGAGCGGAGGTTGGGGGAGGAGAAAGGAGAAGTGGGGAGCTATGGGAGAGGAGCAGTGCAATGGGAGAGATCCATATAGAGCAGATTCATGGAGTTGAGCTGATGGCTGGAAGGGGGGAAGTAGAGCGGAGGTTGGGGGAGGAGAAAGGAGAAGGGGGGAGCTATGGGAGAGGAGCAGTGCAATGGGAGAGATCCATATAGAAGAGCAGGTTCATGGAGTTGAGCTGATGGCTGGCAGGAGAGAGGGGGGGAATGTGAGGGGGAGAAGTGAGGGACGGAGGCGAGAAGGGTAGGAATACAGGATGAGGAGGGAATGAGGAGGGAATGAGGAGGATGACTGCGTTATTGATACGCACTACTGTTGAGTGTAAATATACCAACTTACCCATCAGATTGCAGCAGCAGGCCCTGCAGCACGGACTTGAGTGCCCTGGCTGCTGTTGCTTGCTCACACAAACATCTCCAGATAAAAGTGCGCAAAAATCCCCATCTGACTGCAGCAGCAGGCCCTGCAGCACGCTGGCTGCTGTTGCCAACAGGTAACATAACTATATTTTAATATACATACCAGTTATATGCACACAGAATAGTGTTGAGTGTAGATGTATAATGAAGGTACCCATCTGACTGCAGCAGCAGGCCCTGCAGCACAGATTTGAGTGCCCTGGCTGCTGTTGCTGACAGAAACATATTCCGATTATACAGTTGCCCACCTATGTTGAGTGTGAACTTACCCATCGGACTGTAGCAGCAAACCCTGCAGCACGGACTTAAGTGCTCTGGCTGCTGTTGCTGAAACACATATGATGAAGCCAAAGAGGTGGAAGCTGGGCTCGCTCTGATTGGAGGGGAGGGAGATGGCGGGGTAGGGAGGATTTAGGGAATAGAGGGAAAGCAAGATGACTGTTCCTGTTCCAACGTAAGACAAAGAGATGGAACTTTTTGCAGCCTGTTCATTCATTCATTCATTCATTCATTCATTCATTCATTCATTCATTCATTCATTCATTCATTCATTCATTCATTCATTCATTCATTCATTCATTCATTCATTCATTCATTCATTCATTCATTCATTCATTCATTCATTCATTCATTCATTCATTCATTCATTCATTCATTCATTCATTCATTCATTCATTCATTCATTCATTCATTCATTCATTCATTCATTCATTCATTCATTCATTCATTCATTCATTCATTCATTCATTCATTCATTCATTCATTCATTCATTCATTCATTCACTCATTCACTAATTCACTCACTCACTCACTCACTCACTCACTCACTCACTCACTCATTCACTCACTCACTCATTCACTCACTCACTCACTCACTCACTCACTCATTCACTCACTCACTCACTCACTCACTCACTCACTCACTCACTCACTCACTCACTCATTCATTATTTCATTAAGTTTCATTGGCTTCGCCCTCGCCTGGGCGAAGCCGACTTTGCTGTCGGGTGCGCGAGAAGGCAGCCCGCTGCCTGCAGTGGTCGACGCCGACTTGGGCGAGCAAGTCGACAATTTCGAATCACTTGCGCGTATACATAAGCAACGGGCAAACATCAAACATGTTCGCTTGAACCTCCACGAACATGCCTTGTGGGCGAACCAAACATGTTCGGTTTGAGCTAACATTTTTTGGCGATTTTAGGTGTTCGGTGTTCGTGATAGGGGGGCAAACACTGCATGTTCGGGGTGAACCCAAACATGTTCGAGGTTCGAGAGTGTGTTTTCAGTAGGCTAGCCCCCCCCCCCCCCCCCCCCCCCCCCCCCCCTGGCCTCCCTCCCCTCCCTTCCGAACATCGAACATGTTCGGACGAACATCAAACACGTTCGGCCGAACATTTGTGGCAAAGAAACATGTCCGGTTCGGTTCTGTCACGAACATGTTCGGATGAACCGAACAAGCGTTCGGATTTTTGCTCATGTCTACTTGCGCGGCACCACTGCGAAGCCGCCGACCAAGGGAACTTGACGCCCGACTTCGACTTGGGTGGTCGACGAAGGGGATGGTCGACCTGGGGGGACGCCGACTTTGACTTGGATGGTCGACGATGTTGCTCGTCGACCCGGCGCCCGGGTCATTACCTAGTCGACTTAGTACCTAGGGCGGGGAAGTTCTGCAAGGGCTCGCGGACGTCGCCCAGGAGGTTTCGGCAAAATCGACCTCGAACTAGTATCCCGGGATCGACGTGACATATCAAGCGCAGATGTTGGCACATGGCCGACTTGGTGCCCACGCAATGTTCGGGGCGATGCATGTCGTGCTCAACCGCCTACACGCACTTACAGAATGGGTGCGCTCATGCGCTATGGTCACACACAGTCAGGGTGCAAAATTTCGCCAAATTTTTCATTTTTTGGGCGAAAATTTCGCCATCGAAATTTTCGACCGAATTTTTCGATAATTTCGGTCCCCCTCCCAAAAAACAAAATGGTGGAAAATTTCGCCGAAATTTTCAGGAAAAAAAAATGAGAAATTCGTGTGTAAATTGATAAAATTCATGGGTGGACATTGTAATGGCATTTCGCCATTAGATCTAGGGCGGATCTGGCATTTCGCCATTAGATCTAGGGCGGATCTGGCATTTCGCCATTAGATCTAGGGCGGATATGACATTTCGCCATTAGATCTAGGGCGGATCTGGCATTTCGCCATTAGATCTAGGGTGGATCTGGCATTTCGCCATTAAATCTAAGGCGGATCTGGCGTTTCGTAGCCAGAGAAATTTAGGCAGTTTTTCTTTTTTTAATAATATGTCTATTAAAATTTCGCCGAAATTTTACAAAAACGGCCGTAATTTTCGATCGAAAAATTCGGTTCGAAATTTTCGCTTAGCGCAATTTTCCACCTTGCACACAGTTGCGACGCTGGCAAGCCGCCTTTATTGTCGCCCTGGCGAGCCGCCGTGATGCAGCGCTGGCAGGTCGTCGACTTGTAGTGCTGACAAGCCACCATCGAGCTGCGTTGGCAGGCCGCAGACTTGCTGCATTGGCAAACCGCCGACTTGCTGCGTTGGCGGTCAACCTGCATGTCTGCTCGGCTGCCTTGCATTCGATGTAGTCAATTTTATCATTGCAATTGTATCATAGTATCTAACATTTCTTAATGTAACTCTAGTTGTTTTGCCCCGTGAACCCGCACATAAGCAAATGCTAGAGAGAATGCTACGATCACTCGTACCTTCCGTGCTTCCCTACGTAGTCCCACTCCCGTTGTAGAGCGACTCTCCGCAACTCACTCGCTCACTCTCTCACTCGCTCACTCTCTCACTCCCTCACTCACTCTTTCACTGGCTCACCCCGCTGGCGATGACGACGCCGAGCACGACTAGCAATGAAAGCTCTCTCTACTTGACTCACCCCGCTGGCGATGACGACGCCGAGCACGACGGGCAGGAGGGCGGCATACGTGAGGGCGGCCTCGCGCTTGAAGGTGAGGAGGTAGGCAAAGACAGCCGTGAAGAATGGCGTGGTGGCGCCGATGGCCTGGTTGAACGACACCGGGATGAAGCGCAGGGATGTGTTGCCGCCTACCACTGAGAAGCAGAAGACGGCACTTAGGGCCACGATCCTGAGGAGCTGCGAGGAGGACTTGAGTGGCTGGGAGGTGGGGGGAGTGGTGGAGAAAACGAAAGGAGAGGCAAGAGTCAGAATCACGAGGGCAGAAAGAGAGAAACCGGGGGAAGTGAGCATTGGAGGGTGAAGAATGGCGTGGTGGCGCCGATGGCCTAGTTGAATGACACCGGGACAGGCTGTGTGGTTACCCTATTGTAGCGTTACAGTAACGCTTGCTTACCTGCACCTAGACAATCTTCATCCACACGATCTGCAGACAGGCTGTCTGTCTGGTTACCCTGTTGTAGCGTTACAGTAACGCGTGCTTACCTGCAGCGGGACGATCTTCATCCACACAATGGCGACGTAGCTGAAGAGGGAGCAGGCGGTCATGTGACACATAGTGAGGAAGATGGGGTACTTAAAGCCATAGTTGCTTAGCAGGAACTTATTCAGCAGCAGCACCCCAATGTTGCTTGTGTACCATGCTGCGACTATTGACAGGGTAAATAACCCTGAGGTCTTCTTGGTAGAATCCTGCATGGTTGCACCTGAAAGTATACACGATACAATGAGAGGAAAGGAAAGGGGCAGCGCAAAACTACATGAGCTCAGAAATAAAAAGGTTATCAGTACATAATCACATTCACTTTGTCGATTCAACCGAATCCTGACTCCCCTTCTAAACCATTCCCAATGCATTCTCCTTCGCTCCCCCTTTCGTAACTCCCCATGCTGCTCTCCTTATATAAGCACGACCTTTTTCCCCCTAGCACATTGTCTCCCTCCCTACCTGTCTCCCACCTTCCCTACCTCACCGTCTCCCCCCTCCCTCACTACCTTCCTACCTCACTCTTTCGCCTCCCTATTTGAACTTCTTCCTCCTTACCGTGTCTTTCCCCTTTTCACCTGAATGTTTCCCGCCAACTGCACGTTTCCCTTTCGATCCTCTTCCGCGAGGGACATTTGAGCCCAGCAAACTACGGAGTCGACTCAAGCAACAGCTGTCATTCTCTCATATGATTTTCTATAGACGTCGTCATCGCCAGCGGGATAGAGGCCGTTGTTCCCTATTCTCTTCTATCCCGTCTCTTACCCCGTCTCCTCTCCGGTCTCCTCTTCTACCAGCCCCCTCTCCCTCCAAACATGCACGGAGATGAAATCTAGGAATCCAGGAACCGTGGAAGAGAGTCGATTCAGGGAGAGCCAAGAATCTTAAAGGACGAAAGGAACTCACGTGTTTACCGAACCGCGCCAGGATCAAGTGGATCTTAAGTTAACCGATCCCTGCACATTCCGCGAAAGATTTTCTCCGTCGCCGGAAATCCTTGCGTCAGCGATGTCAAAAGCTCCTTCGGCGATGGACACTGGTCAACCCCGAATGTCAGCTAAAAAGGGAATTTTGATTACGATAATCAGTAACGCGCGAGTAAGAACCTAAGTAGCGTGATTAATAGAAATCAGTAACGCCATTAGCAAGAACATAAACGATAAACTAAGCTCGTCCATTAACTAGATTGCAATCACACTAGTTCTGCATCCTTGCTCTCGTGAGGCCGCAAAAAGCGCAGTCATAAATATACAACGAAACCATGGCTTGGTTGAGCAGGATGCGAGTGAGTGATGTGATGTGATCATTTGACCCTGCCGCCCAGCGGACAGGGAATCACACATGCTCGTTTGTCCTCGGTACCGTACCCGATCAATCTAGAATAAAGTAAGACCGCTCTAAAACACAAAACTCCTTGAGGAGCAGCTAGAAAAACTGTCAAGACGGGGGGTCTCCATGTTACACGTGAAGTTGGGTGAAGGGGGCAGTTTGATGCGGTGAGGTGAGCGAACACGGTGAGCTGTGGTGGGCGATGAAGGCCTGCGTAGACGAAGTGTTCGACGAAGATATTACCGTCTGCATTGGTGTTACACTGCAATTACAAATTGCGTCTCTTTAGATGTAGCTTGACTTTCCATACTCTCCATACCCCATCAAATGAAAGCAAACCAATCATACACTATACAGCCTCATGTCAACAGGCAGCTACACAATTTGAATGAGAATACTGTATAGATCACGCTACTCATGTTTTTCCCTTGTCTTTTGTCATTGGAGCGAGGGTGGCAGTGTAGCTATCATATGCTCAATTCTCTCTACCACCTGTGCGGCCGTCGGGCGTTGCTTCACATCCTGCTGCAGCATCCACTCCACCAGCCTATGGAACGACGCAGGGTACCCCACCACCTCCCCTCCTGCTGCCCCCACTGCAGAAAAATCAGCAAAATCACCTCCTGACAATCCAGTCGCGGTCATATTGCTAGGAGCGTCCATAGAAGCAGTGGAGGGAGCGGAGGAGGAGGAGGCAGGGAGGGGCGGGTGGGGCCATTTGATGGTGCCGCTCATCACTGCGAGCTGCAAGCTGCCTCCTGACTCGCCTAGGGAGAACTCAAAAGGAGACTGCCCGTACCTGATTTCCCATACTCGAAGTGGAACAGGAGAGGCGGAAGTGCAAGAAAAGTGGGAGAAATGAGGAGCAAAATGGGGAGAACAGTGCAAGGAAGGTACACGTTAATCAGCGGGAGTTACAAGGGGAAAAGTTGATGTGCATGGCTGCTCCCATGCCTGTATGGATACCAAACTCACATGCACATCTGCCTACCGTCACAGCTGCCTACATTCACATCAGCCACAGTCACATCTGCCTACAGTCGCATAATCAAGAGTGTATTCCCAGGTATCACATGCCATTATGCATCTCCCTGCCTCCAGTCACAATCATGATACTGATACTCACATATGCCTACAGTCGCATCGGCCCACAGGCACTCACATGGTGGCATAGAGCGTACATCCCAGCGACCACACGTCACTCCTCTCATCGACCTCCATCTCACTCGGGCAGTCCCAAAACTCCGGTGCTCGGTACGCCGCTGAACAGTGCTGCGACGCTCTTTACAGTCACATCTGCCTACAGTCACACTCACATAGTGGCATAGAGGGTGCATCCCAGCGACCACACGTCACTCCTCTCATCGATCTCCATCTCACTCGGGCAGTCCCAAAACTCCGGTGCTCGGTACGCCGCTGAACAGTGCTGCGCCGCCCATTCCTGCGACAGAATCAAAACCAGCCAAGGAAAGACAAGCGAGGGGAGAACTGGGTAAATGCAATTTGTGCAGATTGCGATGCTTGGTACCTCACGCAAGACCTTGATCAACGGTGAGGCTCACACTCACCTGCAGGGACAGGGCCTTGTTGCGGGAGGTGATGTGTCTCCTGGCCGGAGTAGTAGACCCAAAGTCCATAATCGCCACCGCAACATCCCATGTAGTAAGAAGCGGAGAGAAGAGGTGATAAACGGTGAGAGCCCACACTCACCTGCAAGGACAGCGCCTGGTTGCGAGAGGTGATGTGTCTCCCGGCAGGCGTGGTGGAGCCAAAATCCATAATCACCGCAATGTGTGGCAGGTGCAATATGCATTTCATTCATGCGCACCTGCAAGGAAAGCGCCTGGTTGTGGGAGGTGATGTGTCTCCTGGCCGGCATGGTGGACCCAAAGTCCATAATCGCCACCGCCACATCCCGTGCCGATGCTGTTTGCAACTTGGCAGCAGTCTACCCGATGCATGCTTGGATGCAGTGAGAGGCAGTGATAGGTTGTGAGCGGCACTGGGAGGAAGCCATAGTCGCCACCACCATGTGTGGCAGGAAAAACATGCACGACCATTCCTACTGACCTGCAAGGACAGCGCCTGGTTGCGGGAGGTGATGTGTCTCCTAGACGGAGTAGTGGACCCAAAGTCCATAATCGCCACGGCAACATCCCATGTAGTAAGAAGCGGAGAGAAGAGGTGATAAACGGTGAGAGCCCACACTCACCTGCAAGGACAACGCCTGGTTGCGCGAGGTGATGTGTCTCCTGACAGGCGTGGTGGAGCCAAAGTCCATAATCGCCACCACCAAGTGTGGCAGGTACAGCATTCATCCCATTCATACGCACTTGCAAAGACAGCGCCTGGTTGCGGGAGGTGATGTGTCTCCTGGCGGGAGTGGTGGAGCCGAAGTCCATAATTGCCACCGATACCTCCCATTCCGATGCTGCTTGCTAGAAGTGATGTGTCTCCTGGCAGAGTCCATAATTTCCACGGATATATCCCATGTGGTGAGAAGGGGTGAGAAGAGGTGACAAGCGGTGAGCCCAGACTCACCTGCAGGGACAGGGCCTGGTTGCGCGAGGTGATGTGTCTCCTGGCAGGCGTGGTGGAACCAAAGTCCATAATCGCCACCGCCACATCCGATGCCGATGCTGTAGGTGACCGCTCCAGTGCGTCCTTGGATGCAGTGAGATACGGTGAGATGCGGTGAGAGACGGTGAGAGTGAGAATGACTGACCTGTAAGGACAGCGCCTGGTTGCGTGAAGAGATGTGTCTCCTGGCAGGCGTGGTTGAGCCAAAGTCCATAATCGCCACCGCCACGTCTGATGCCGACGCTGTTGGTAACCGCTCCAACGGCACCCCGTCTCCCGTTCCCTCGCCTCCTGCTGCTCCTTCCTCCCCATTCCGCCCACCTGTGTTAGCCTTTCCTGCTTCTCCTGCTTTTCCTTCAGAGGCACCGGCAGCAGAAGAAGCACCATCACCACTGCTTATACCCTCTACAAAAGCATCATCCCTTTCTGCTACACCGGTCACACAGATACCATCGCCCCTGCCCATTCCCCCTGCAATTCCCCCTGTGGCCCCGTGCCCTCCCCCAAAGGCTATGAGGATGTTCCCTGGCTTGACGTCGTTGTGGGCTAGAGGGGGCGAGCATGCGTGCATGTGTGCAAGGCCAGACGCAACCTGGGAAAGGGAGGAAGGAGCAGGAGAGAAGGTAGGGAGGACGAGGCTATGGGGACGTTCCTTGGCTTGATGTCGCTGTGGGCTAGAGGGGGCGAGCACGCATGCATGTGAGCAAGGCCAGACGCAACCTGGGGGAGGAAAAGAGGGGAAAGAGGGAGGAGCGAGGAGGAAGAGCTAGGCTATCAAAATGTTCCCTGGCTTGATGTCATTGTGGGCTAGAGGGAGCGAGCACGCATGCAAGTGTGCAAGGCCTGAGGCAACCTGGAAAAGGGAGGAACGGAAAGAGGTGAGGGAAGGAAGGTATGAGAGTGTTTTCTGGGTTGACGTCGTTGTGGGCTAGTGGGGGCGAACATGAATCCATGTGTGGAAAGCCTGAAGCCACCTGGGGAAGGGGAAGAGGAGGAAGCCACCTATCCCCCCGCCTATCCCCCCTGTGGCCCCGTGCCCTCCCCCAAAAGCTATGAGAATGTTCCCTGGCTTGATGTCGTTGTGAGCATCCCCACCGCCCCTACCCATCCCCCTACCCATCCCCCTACCCATCCCCCTACCCATCCCCCTACCCATCCCCCTACCCATCCCCCTACCCATCCCCCTACCCATCCCCCTGCCCATCCCCTTACCCATCCCCCTACCCATCCCCCTGCCCATCCCCCTACCCATCCCCCTACCCATCCCCCTACCCATCCCCCTACCCATCCCCCTACCCATCCCCCTACCCATCCCCCACCCATCCCCCTACCCATCCCCCTACCCATCCCCCTACCCATCCCCCTACCCATCCCCCTACCCATCCCCCTACCCATCCCCCTACCCATCCCCCTACCCATCCCCCTACCCATCCCCCTACCCATCCCCCTACCCATCCCCCTACCCATCCCCCTACCCATCCCCCTACCCATCCCCCTACCCATCCCCCTACCCATCCCCCTACCCATCCCCCTACCCATCCCCCTGCCCATCCCCCCGCCTATCCCTCCTGTGGCGCCGTGCCCTCCCCCAAAGGCTATGAGGATGTTCCCTGGCTTGACGTCGTTGTGGGCCAGAGGAGGAGAGCACGCATGCATGTGTGCAAGGCCGGAGGCAACCTGAGAAAGGGAGGAAGGGGGAAGAGGGGAGGAGGGGGACAGACAGAGGCTATGAGGATGTTCCCTGGGTTGATGTCGTTGTGGGCTAGAGGGGGCGAGCACGTGTGCATGTGTGCAAGGGCAGAGGCAACCTGGAAAACGGAGGGAGGGGAAGGAGGGTAGGGAGAAAAAGGCTATGCGAATGTTCCCTGGTTTGACGTCGTTGTTGGCTAGAGCGGGCGAGAACGCATGCGTGTGTGCAAGGCCTGGAGCATACTACAATGCATGCGTTTGCTGCAGGCCTACAAAATGCATTTGCTGCAATAAAGCATGCTGAACATAGGAAAGATTCCAGTACCTGGCTGATAATGGTGAGCACTTGAAGCGGTGAGAAGCGGTGGCCTCTACCGGGTTGCGACCCCTTGGGTTGAGCCATCCACGCGACATGGTCGTGAATGGTGCCGTCCCGGTAGACTGGGAAGACCAGATACGCCTCCTTGGTGCCCTGCTGCTGCTGCAATGGGGTGAGAGCAACAAGTAGGATGGTGAGAAGGGGTGAGAAACGGTGTTAAGCGGTGGCCTGCAACCCCTTGGGTTGAGCCATCCACGCAACATGGTCGTGAATGGTGCCGTCCCTGTAGACTGGGAAGACCAGATACGCCTCCTTGGTGCCCTGCTGCTGCTGCAGGATTAAAGGGAGTGGAAAGGGGTGTTGGGGAGAGAAAGGGGTGTTGGGGGTGTTGGGTGTCGGAGGGGGGGATAAGATGGACAGAAAGTGGGGACGCAGGAAAGAGGAGGTACGCCTCTTTGGTGCCCCGCTGCTGCTGTAGGCGTGAAAGGAGTGAAATGGTGAGGGAGGAAGAGGGGGCGAATGGTGGGGTTGGGAGGGAGAGATAAAATGGATAGGCAGGAAAGAAGAGGTACGCCTCTTTGGTGCCCCGCTGCTGCTGCTGCAGGCGTGGAGGACGTGGAAGCAGGATAGAGCATACGAGGAAAAGGATACCAAGCAGAAGGGAGCTGAAGTGATATCGCAGAAAGGAAGAGGCACCTAAGAGTTACCTTGGATGACAGTATAGGGTGTTCCACAGACGGGAGCAGCTGGGAAGCTAATTGGGAGTTGCTACTGCAAAAAAGGGAAAAAGGAACCTAGAAGCTACCTTGGATGACACTATGGCGTGTTCCACTAGAGGGAGAAGGTTGGGATGGTCGAGCTTTGATGCCACGTCGATTTCGGCCTTCACCAGCAGCAGCTGCTCCTTTGTCTGTATCAGGAACTTCTTTAACGCGTATGTGTTGTCAGCTGGAGGAGAGAGGGGAATCGAGGAAAAAAAGTGCAGCCTTTTTTTTGTGTACGGCAGAAACTTCAATAACGCGTACGTGTGGTGAGGTGGATGAAGGATGGTGTGCGGGACACAATAGGAAAGAGAAGAATGTGGGGAATGAAGGTGGGGTAGCGGAACAAATAAAAAAGTTCATAGCGAGGATAAGCCTTGTTGAGTGCAATATTAGTTACAGGGGACTTACGGGAGACGTATTTCCGTTTCGGCTTGGCTGCAACAGCCGGCTTAACGTCTGATTCGTCCGCTGATCCTGCATTTTCCCCTGAATTTCGGGGTTCTGCAGCCTTGTCATCACCGCTAGTCTCCACGTCAGCAGCTGGATCCGACGATGCATCTGGACCATCGCCGGCGCTGCTGCGGCTGCTACCGGTTTCGCGAACAAGGTAAACGAAAGCGTAACCACCTTCGCCAAGATTTTGCACAATGCGAAACCGTCGCCCGTTCACCTTCACCTCCTCGCCGCTACTCACAGCATCATATATCGCCGCCAAACCCGACCACGTGCAACCCATTAGATCTTTAATATCCTTAAGCTCCCTAATATCCTTCAGATCTTTCGCGTTGCTGCTGTTCCGGGCAGCCCCGTTACGAAAAGTTTCGACGAGGTGTTCTACGTTCTGTGTCACTTGCTTCACGCCCTTGCTCTCAAAAACGTTATCGACTAACTTCTCTACGTTCTGCGTCACTTTTTTCACGCGTTCGCTCTCAAAAACGTTATCGACAAGCTTTTCTACGTTCTGTTTCACCCCTTGGCTGCCTGCAAACACGCTCTCGTACAAACGGGACAGACCCTCGCCCGCACCGTGAGCCTGGGTCGGAGGCTCAGCAGAACCGCTCTGGACGCCTCTAGAACCGCCTCGGGCCCCTTCAGATCCGCCTTGTCCCCTGGCGAACACGCTGTCGTACCAACGGGAGAGTCCTTGAGAGTTCATGTGACGAGGCTCATGCTCGCCGCGGAGATTGGAAGAGTGATGGCGAATGTTGTCATTCTGGTGGAATCAAGACGGTGCTTGAAGCGAAGACGTAAAGGCTAGTACCAGATAAGCTACATGAGGCAAGAAGCTATTGCTACCTATGTCAACGGTCACTACGCAAGTCTTGCTGTTGCGAGGAAGCCGTTAGTCCCCGACTCTCGAGGGACAAGAATCTAGATGCTCCACGGACTGATCTCCCGAACGAATATCACGTGGTTTTGTTACAGGGATCCAATGGCAGCATCCTAACGGGATGTTCCCGTGGCTGGGCCTTGGTGATGGTTTGCCCAGCCGTGATTCGTTGATCGTGCTGGACGTTTGTGGGTCGCTCGCAGTAGTACGCGCTTTTAGGGTGTGTAAGATCCCCGTGCACACGTTTTGGCTGAATTTTGTCGACCATTTTGGTCGACAAAGCTTTCGCGAAGGTCGACAGATTAGTCGTCACCAGGTCGACAAATTTTCGGCCAACTCAGTGTGGCCTCCAAATCTGACACGGTTTTGCTGGCCGCTGTAACAGAGGTGGAAGATTTCGGTTTGTCCTTTTTTACGACTTGGTGCGACGATGTCGCACACATGAATACGATGTCGCAATTTCTTTGTAGCAGCGTATGCGACTTCGTTTCTCACTGTAGACAGCTGCTGTCGACAGCATGGCCGATTTGAAGTCGACCACGCGTCGGAAAAGAGTCGACTAGTTTTCCGGCCATCAAATCACAAATTTGATGGTTGAAATTGACGAGATTCGCAAACCGATCACGAAATGGTTACTTTCGCTACGGCCACCTAATTTTGATGGCCGATTCTGTGTGCACGGGGATCTTACACGCCCTAAGGGCGTCGGTCGCAAAATAGAACTTGTAGTTAGGGGAGAAAAAGCATAAAAGTGAGGGCTGGGCAAAAGCCCGACTCCACTGGGGATCGAACCCAGAATCTCTGGTTCCGTAGACCAGCGCCTTATCCATTGGGCCATGGAGTCACATTAGAGATCCAAATGTAATAAAAACAGTGTTTATTTTACCTCTCATGACGATGCCTTTCCAGTTTCAGTCTTCCACAACCCTCACGAGCCAACATGAGCAGCAGCAGCGCCGTCGCGTCGCTCCGGCTCTCACTCACCAACCCGCACCTTCCGCAGCCTCGATGCGGGTCTGAAGGCCGTCAGTCATGCACCAATCCGCGAGCATCGCTGACATGTCAGCAACCCTATCCTCGCGATGTCACACGTTGTAACCTTCCTGTCGTTGACTCGAGACGCGTCACGGGCGGCGTTGCTTGCACGCTTCGTATCTCAGATAGTGGAACAGGGTCAAAGTCGAAATTCGCGCGGCTATGTCTTCCTCAATTCCAGAATAGAGTATCACAGTCCCATGGGTTACAGTTTGCCAGCAGGTTCAACGAACGTCACGTTCCTAGAGCAACTGAACGCGCCCTGGGAGCAAATTGGGGGAAATTCAGTTTCGGGTCAGATGAACGTTTTTCCTCCTGGTCGGGACTAGCTCCGCCAGGAAAGTTCGCCGCTGTTTCGGCCGAGCTGGTATCTGAAAGAGAGGCGGGTAGAGCAGCGCGGGGAACTGTGCGGTGTAGGTCCGGTGCGGATAATAACGAGACGGAGAATGACTCTAGCGCGGACGGGGAAGCTGGGGTGGCGGAGGCGGAAGGGGAGAAGGCGTGGTGGGCGCAAGGGTGGGATGTGCCGTGGGGGTGGAGGGAGACAGGCATCGGAATGAGTGCGTGGATTTCGAGGTATGTGCTTATAACGGGTGTTGCTTATAACAGGGATGAGAGAAGGAGAGGTGGGTGCAAGGTGGAATGGAATGTGCCGTGGGTGGTGAGGGAGACGGGCATTGGTATGAGCGCGTGTATCTCCTGGTATGTGCTTGTAGTGAATACATTTCTAAGGAGGACAGTCGTGTCTCAACATTCCCGCCCCGACCCTTCTTTGCCCACGCTTTCTCCGCCGGTCCCCACCCCCTCATTCCCCCTCTCCCAGCTTCATATTCGCGGGAATAGCCGTGCAGCTCGCCTGTCTCAAGCTAGGATGGGCGCCCTGGAGGGGCACGTATTTGAACGACGAGGCGCTCTTTCTGCTCATCAACCAGTCGGTTGTGTGTTTATGCATGTGTTTATGTGTACCGCACCCCACCCCTCCCCATCCCTCCCCCCCCCCAGCTTCATATTTGTGGGAATAGCCGTGCAGCTCGCCTGCTTAAAGCTCGGGTGGGCGCCCTGGAGGGGCACGGATTTGAATGACGAGGCGCTCTTTCTGCTCATCAACCAGTCGGTGCGAACGGCATCAGGAATCGCCATTGTGTGGCTTGTCGCGCGCCCCTTTCAACCACTCTCCACCGACCTCTTCCACTGGGGTAAGCGCATTGTGAAATAGGTGCCTTTTGGGGAAAGTGGGTGCCGTCTGGGTTGCTCTTTCTGCTTGTCAACCAGTCGGTGCGAACGGCATTAGGGATCGCCATCGTGTGGCTTGTAGCTCGCCCCTTCCAACCACTCTCCACCGACCTCTTCCACTGGGGTAGGTGCCTTCTGGGGTATGTAGGTGCCTTCTGGGGTAGGTAGGTGCCTTCTGGGATAAGTAGGTAGGTGCCTTCTGGGGTAGGTAGGTGCTGTCTGGGCTGCTCTTTCTGCTTATCAGCCAGTTGGTGCGAACGGCATCAGGGATCGCCATTGTATGGCTTGTCGCTCGCCCCTTCCAACCACTCTCCACCGACCTCTTCCACTGGGGTAGGTGCCTTCTGTACATATAGATAGGTACGTGCCTTCTTTGGGTAGTAGCCTTCAGGGATCATCATCGTGTGGTTTGTCGTGCGCCCCTTCCAGCCTCTCCCCTCCGACCTCTTCCATTTAAGTAGGCGCTTTATGGGGTTAAGAGCCTTCTGGGATAGCTAGCAGGTGCCTTCTGAGGTAGGCGCCTTCTGGGGTAGGCATCTTCCTCAAACGCTCTTTGATTCGACTCAAAAGGCTGCTACGGGCGTCTTGACTGGTAGCTTCCATCCCTCGTTCATTCACTCCCCTCACTCCCCTCACTCCCCTCACTCCTCTCGCTCCCCTCACTCCCCTCGCTCCCCTCACTCCCCTCACTCCCCTCGCTCCCCACGCTCACTTTTTCAGGTTCTGAGGACCCCTTCAGTTGTCGCAAGGGGTGGTTGTCATGGGCCGGTGTGGGCGTCTTGACTGCTGGGCTGTTGGGCGCGTGGTGTCTGTTTAACATATTTTCCCTCATACGTTTTCGTCTCTCACTTGCCCAAATGGATTCTCCCTCTCTCCCTTTCTCAAGTTTGGAGAACCCCTTCAGTTGTCGCAAGGGGTGGTTGTCATGGGCCGGTGTGGGCGTCTTGATTGCTAGTTTCATCCCTCGTTCATTCACCCCCTCCACTCCCCGCTTTCCGCTCTCTCCTTTCATTCCCCAATCCAGGTTTTGAGGACCCCTTCAGTTGTCGCAGGGGGTGGTTGTCCTGGGCCGGCGTGGGTGTCTTGACTGCTAGTTTTCATCTCTCGCTCTTTCACTCCCCTCTTTCCCCTCCTGCTTCTCCCCATTCAGGTTTCGAGGACCCCTTCAGTTGTCGCAAGGGGTGGTTGTCATGGGCCGGCGTGGGCGTCTTGACTGCTAGTTTCCATCCCTCGTCCGTTCACTCCCGCTTCTCCCCTCCTGCTCCTCCCCTTTCAGGTTTCGAGGACCCATTTAGTTGTCGCAAGGGGTGGTTGTCCTGGGCCGGCGTGGGCGTCTTGACTGCTGGGCTCGTAGTTTTCGTCACTGCCACCGCCACCACCGCTCTGTCAGGAGGAATTGACCCGCCCAGAGAGGTACTGCTGTTCTTGCTGTTGTCCACTGTTGACTTGTGTTGACTTGTGTTGACTAGCGTTGACTAGCGTTGCATTGCTCTGGCTTGTATTGGCCGGCGTGGGCGTCTTGACTGCTGGGCTCGTAGTTTTCGTCACTGCCGCCGCCACCACCGCGCAATCAGGAGGAATTGACCCGCCTAGAGAGGTATTACTGCTCTCTTGAAGGCCTCTGCTGACTTTCGTTGACTTGTGTTGACTTTTGTTTGTCTTTACTGGGCCGGTGTGGCCGACTTGACTGCTGGGCTCGTTGTGTTTGCCACTGCCACTGCCACCACGGCCCTTTCAGGAGGCATCGACCCGCCTAGAGAGGTGCTGCTGTGCTGCTGTTGACTTGTGCTTGTGCTGACTTGTGTTCGTCTTGAATCGCTTGTCATGGCCTGGTGTGGGCGTCTTGACTGCTGGTCTCGTTGTTTTCGCTACTCCTCGTGCTGTGCTACCCCCACCAAGAAGCACACGAGCTGGTGCAAGCACTTCCCATAATCGCCGCCTCCCCTTTCAGCACCGGTGCTCCCATCTCCGTTGCTGCTGTCCTTTTGTTCTCCACGATCAATGCCGCTCGCCCTGTCTCCTGACCCTTTTCTCCCTCATCTCTTGCCCGCCCACTCCACCAGGACGCAGACGCGTTGGTTTTAGTGCTTCCCATAATCGCCGCCTCACCTTTCAGCACCCGCGCGCTCTCTCCCCCTCTCCCGCTGTCCCTGACCCTCCTTCTTTCCCCCATCTCTACCCCCTTCTCTCCCCTCTCCCACTATCAGGACGCAGACGCGCTAGTGCAAGTGCTGCTCATAATCGCCGCCTCTCCTTTCAGCACCGGAACTCCCATCTCCGTTGCCGGTGTGCTCTTGCTCCCCCGCTCCCATCTCCCCTCCCCTCACCCCCCCTCTTTCCCCCATCTCCCACCCCCTTCTCTCCCCTCTCCCACACCAGGATGCAGACGCGTTGGTTCAAGTGCTTCCCATACTCGCCGCCTCTCCTTTCAGCACCGGTGCACTCATCTTCGTTGCGGGTGTGCTCCTTGCTCCCCCTCTCCCCCTCTCCCCCTCTCCCCCTGTCTTCCCCCCCCCCACTCCCCCATCAGGAAGCAGACGCGTTGGTGCAAGTGCTCCCCATAATCGCCGCATCCCCATTCAGCACCGGCGCGCTCATCTTTGTTGCCGGTGTGCTCGCCCCCATCCTCGAAGAAACCATCTTCCGGGCCTTCCTTCTCACGTCCCTGACCAAGTGGTGAGTGATACGCAGTGTGCCAGGCCAGGGATAGGTTTACCCCACATCTGAGATAGGAGTCCTGCACGAGCGCGCTCATCTTCGTTGCGGGTGTGCTCGCCCCAGTCCTCGAGGAAACCATCTTCCGAGCCTTCCTACTCACATCGCTGACCAAATGGTAGGCCATGCCTGCATGCAACAGTGGGCCGTGTCATGCCATGCGCTAGGGTGTGGAATACCCCACCCACCCCCCACATATTCCATCGGCGCCCTTGTTCCTTCGTTGCCGGTGTGCTCGCCCCCATCCTCGAAGAAACCATCTTTCGAGCCTTCCTGCTCACGTCCCTAACCAAGTGGTGAGTGGTGGGCCATGCGCTAGTGTGTGTGAGTGGGCCACATATTTGATGCTAGGCCATGCCATGCGCGACGGGGTAGGTCTGCCCCACATCTGGCATGAGTTATGCTCTCTTCTTCGTTGCCGGTGTGCTCGCTCCCATCCTTGAGGAAACCATTTTCCAAGCATTTCTGCTCACGTCCCTAACAAAATGGTGAGCTAGTTGCTCGGTAGCTCCCTCAATGTGAGGTCGGTCAATATGAAGGATTTTCAGAGGTTTTGTTGTAACATGTTTCATTCGCAAGGACCCATGCAACAACCACCCGCATTAGTGGAGCAATATAACATTTTTGTGAATGACACTATACTAGACATATTGTATCGCCGCAAAAATGACAACGTACAGAAAATATATTGGCGTATCAAGTCTAGCATTATTACCTCGCACCTGTTTACCGGTATTATCATCACTTACGCCAGCCCGGTATTACTAAGTTAAATCCTCCCCTCCCCTTTCTCAACCCCAACTAACCAATCCCCCCATTTTAGCCACTAGTAGCCATTGACAATGGGAAGTATTAGTGACATAAAGCTAGTACTTCCCATTGTCAATGGCTACTAGTGGCTAAAGTGGGGGCATGGGTTAATTGGGGTTGGGGAAAAGGAAGGGGAGGATTTAACTTAGTAATACCAGGCTGGCTTAAGTGATGATCATACCGGTAAGCAGGTGCAGCGGTGATAATGTTAGACTTAATAAGTCGATATGGTCTCTGTACATTGTCATTTTTGCAGCGATACAATATGTCTAGTGTAGTGCCATTCACAAAGAATGCTATATTGCTCCACTAATGTGGGTGGTTGTTGCATGGGCCCTTCCGAGTGGAACATGTGACCACAAAACCTCTGAAAATCCTTCACACACTTAAATGTTGAGCAAACTACTGCTCTCGCTGCTGCTGTTTCTCTCACAACCGCTGCACACCCACCTTTTCAGCACAACACGATTCCCGCACCCCTTGCACTGGCAGGCAGGCATTGCCAGGGCATTGCTGGGCCGTCTCAAATTTCTCAACCAGCTCTTTTCCCTGTTTCCTTCCACGCTATTTTTCTCCCACAATTTACCAGGGTGCCGGTACCCCTGGCAGTGGCAGGCAATGCCTTCGCCTTTGCTGCAGCCCACATGACTCCAAAGTTGTTTCTCTATATCTCCCCCCACAGCCAGCCGCCCTCTCCCTTCTTTTCCTCCCTTGTTATTGCATTCCACCAGGATGCCAGACCCCTGGCAGCGGGAGGGAGTGCATGTGCCTTTGCTACAGCCCACTTGACTACCCCGAGTCCCACCCGCCCTCCCCCCTCTTCCTCCCCTTGGTATTGCATTCCATCAGGATGCCAGACCCCTGGTAGTGGCAGGGAGTGCATGTGCCTTTGCAGCATACATGACTACCCCGAGTCCCACTCGCCCTCCCCCCTCTTCCTCCCCTTGGTATTGCATTCCATCAGGATGCCAGACCCCTGGTAGTGGCAGGGAGTGCATGTGCCTTTCCAGCACACATGACTACCCCGAGTCGCACCCGCCCTCCCCCCTCTTCCTCCCCTTGGTATTGCATTCCATCAGGATGCCAGACCCCTGGTAGTGGCAGGGAGTGCATGTGCCTTTCCAGCATACATGACTACCCCGAGTCCCACCCGCCCTCCCCCCTCTTCCTCCCCTTGGTATTGCATTCCATCAGGATGCCAGACCCCTGGTAGTGGCAGGGAGTGCATGTGCCTTTGCAGCATACATGACTACCTCGAGTCCCACCCGCCCTCCCCCCTCTTCCTCCCCTTGGTATCTCATTCCATCAGGATGCCGGTACCCCTGGCAGTGGCAGGGAGTGCATGCACCTTTTCTGCTGTCCACATGACTCCCAGCTCCTTCCCCCACCCGCTCTCTCCTTTCGTTTTCCCCCGTTGGTATCACAATACATCAGGATGCCAGTGCCCTTGGCCGTGGCAGGCAGTGCCTGTGCCTTTGCTGCTGCCCACATGACTCCCAACGAGTTCCCCAAGCTCGCTGCTCTCGGTACGTTGAAATATTATGACTCGACTCAAAAGGTTGACATTCTTGTGACTTTCAAGTCGCCGACAGAGAGTGCCTGTGCCTTTGCTGCTGCCCACATGACTTCCAATGAGTTCCCCAAGCTCGCTGCTCTCGGTACGTTGAAATATTATGACTCGACTCAAAAGGTTGACATTCTTGTGACTTTCAAGTCGCCGACAGAGAGTGCCTGTGCCTTTGCTGCTGCCCACATGACTTCCAATGAGTTCCCCAAGCTCGCTGCTCTCAGTACGTTGAAATATTATGACTCGACTCAAAAGGTTGACATTCTTGTGACTTTCAAGTCGCCGACAGAGAGTGCCTGTGCCTTTGCTGCTGCCCACATGACTTCCAATGAGTTCCCCAAGCTCGCTGCTCTCGGTACGTTGGCGGAATGGCAGTGAGGTGACTAAGTCTATCAGTTAGGACAGGACGAGAAGGTAGATGTGGAGGAAGAGGAGGAAGAGAAGGGAGAGCTGCTGCCCACATGACTCCCAACGAGTTCCCCAAGCTCGCTGCTCTCGGTATGTCTGACTGTTGGGCCATATCCAGTCTGATACCAGCTTGTGGCGGCAGCAATCCCAATCAGTGCAGTAACATGTGCCTTAGATAGCTTCGCAGCGTTACAAGCCTCGCAGGGTTACAAGCTTCGCAGGGTTACAAGCCTCGCAGGGTTACAAGCTTCGCAGGGTTACAAGCTTCGCAGGGCTGAAAATAGGTGGATAGGGTTGCAGGTTGGAATCAGATTGAAGATCGCTCGACAGCCACGGCTACGAAAGAGGTTTTTGCGAGTTACAGCACTTGATCTTTTGTACCCAGTTTTCATCACACATTGTTCATCAGTGCAGGATTCCTGTTGTTTCCTCAAATCGAACCCTTCCGTCTTTTTTTTTCTCAATTCCCTACCCTGTGTCTCTCGCTTCCCCTTGTTGCAGGATTGGTGTTGGGTTTTACTTATGTGCGCACCCGCAACCTACTCACACCCATCATCATCCATTCAGTGTGGAACTCAGGGGTCATCATCATTCTCACATTGCTGCGGGTAAGACCACTTGCACTCCCCCCGAGAGTGCTTCTATTACCTTTCCAACCAACCTCCTCACACCCATCATCATCCATTCAGTGTGGAACTCAGGGGTCATCATTATCCTCACCCTGCTTCGGGTAATATATTGGCCCTCCAAACTGCCTCTATTGTCTTCTCATCCCCTCTCTGAAACTCCATTTATCGCCTCCCCATTCATATGGAACTAGGGGGTTGCCTTTCTCACCTTGCTGTTAGTTTGTCTTTCCGAGCTGCTTGTTTCAAGTCATCTCAGTACACACTTAGGACAGGTTGGGGGGGTATAGTCGTTCTTACCTCCCTGCTGCTCGGTTCATGTTGCTCCCCGGCACTGCCTGTTTCGAGTCGACTCCATACACACATGCTTCCCTTCCCATTTTTCATACTGATCCCTTTTGTTCTGTATTCAGATGGAAGGATATGATATACAGGAGCTTATATAAGCGCATGGGAGTGGAGATGAAGAGGTTCAATGAGACCATAAGATTAAACAAATATATGAAAGCGGCTGAGTTTTGGAGATGAGATTTTATGTAAACTCACGCATTGCTGGTGTTTGAAATGTGGTGAGTACCGTACCTCTCATTGTTAGGGTTCCAATCTGTTCACATCTTACAGCAACCCATCCAAGTTCGCTACCATCATCCATCAACCTCTCTAAGCGTGGCTTGGATGAGCATTAGTGCTCATCCACCAGGTGTAGAAAAAAATCAAATACACTCATGTTCTACCCGATGTAATGAAATCCCAGCATATATTTGTGGTAAAATTGGAAATTTCAATTGTGTTGCGTGCTGCTATAGCGAGTCCGCTTGCTTCCAAGTTTCTCGGTTGCTCTTGACCAATGACGTGCTTCTGGCGGTGAACCTGTTTGGTTCCAAGCCATATTCTCCGAACCTTTTGCCAAGCCAGGCACCTTGGTTCCCAGACCACTTTCTGCTCTTCTTCTCCCTCGCAAAAACCCCGTCATACCGAGCCCGATCTTCCGGGTCTGGAACGCTTGTGTGCCTTTCTGAAAGGACGTATTCAACAGTCGTAAATTGGAGTTTAAATGTCCAGTTTGCGCACCCTCATAGCACCTTCTGTTGCATTTTCAAGTTTCTGCCCGGCTGCAAAGCAGACCGGATGGTAGGCGGAATATGTAACTATTGGGTGAAACGAATGTAGAAACACACGGCCTCCCACCTTCCCAGCTCAACCCTTCCTCGCTTCTTCAAGCTCCTCCGCTCCATTCATTTGGCTTGCTTCCACAGCGCGTTTTCCCGTTGTTTGTCATTGCAGTTCTGCGGGCGTTCATGCTCGCTGTTCTGCCACGCGCGGCCGCTGGATCACCGCTGATTTCACGTGCTGTCTGTCCTCAACCTCACGCTACTGCATTTGCGAATCCAGACCGTCCATTCCTCTTCCAGTCCGCCACCATCGTCCGATCACTCCTCCTCGTCCTGGTCATTCACCTCGTACTCGTCGCGGCGCCTTCTGATCCATCGCCATCTTTGTCGAAAGTACCGACACCAACCTATCATCACCGCGGCGACTCGTACCGAAGCACCGTCGCCGAATCCGCGAATCCCTTGCGCCGTAAAACGATATCCTTTCGCGTACACGTCAGCATCCCTTTCTCCCTCCATTGGTACCTGCTGATCATTTCCGATTAGCCTCTCGCCTGACACGTCACCATGGCACGCGGCCGATCCAGGGACCTGCTCCTCGCTGCCGTCCGATTCTCCTCGCGGCGCGGCGGTGCTAGATCCAACGGTTCAGATCGACGCGTTGGTCCTGCGCACGCTTCCGCCCTGCTTTCGCGAAGTACCTGCAGCGCGCCGAGCTTAACCCCTCCCCAAGAATCTTGGGGAATCCATTACGGTGCAAAGCGGTTACCGGCGCTACAGATCGCTGCTCTCGGTTCGCAGGGAGGGGTTCGGTTTGCCGAGCCTCCAGCGCTAGGCTCGGATGTGGCAGGCGCGGGAGTGAGGCGGTATGGGTCGCAGGCTGCGAGCGCGCAGGAGGAGGGGAAGGAGCCGTGGCGCGCAGGCATGGAGAAGGTGAGGGGGTAAGGGAGATGGGGTGATGGGGTGAGCATAGCGAGTAGGTGAAACGAGGCAGTGAGGGTGCTGAGTAGAGGCGTTTGCCTGTCTCAGTTTGGGTGTGGAATTTCCACTGAAAACATCAGCTTCAAGCTGCGAGCGCGCATGAGGAGGGGAAGAAGCCGTGGCGCCAAGGCATGGAGAAGATGAGGGGGTGAGGGGGGGTGCTGGAAGTGGTGTGGTTGTTTCTGTCGGGAATTCGCTGCATGCAGGTTGTGAGCGCGCAGGAGGAGGGGAAGGAACCATGGCGCGCAGGCATGGAGAAGGTGAGAGGGGTGAGGGTGTGAGGGACTGGGGATTGGGCTTAGAGAAGGTCGCTGTTCTACACGGCGCGCATGGGGGCCAGTCAGGACGACCATGACGGAGAAAGTGCTGTTCTACACAGCGCGCATCCACGAGATTCATGAAGTCAGAGGGCGGACGCACACTGAGCCTCCTCTTCCCTTCTCCTCCATACTGTTCTGTTTCTCTCTTGCCAGATTCGCAACATTGGGATATCGGCACACATCGACTCCGGCAAGACGACCCTCACAGAGCGAGTGCTGTTCTACACGGGGCGCATCCACGAGATTCATGAAGTCAGAGGGCAGGATGGTGAGGGCACATCAGATCCCCCCTCACCCCCACTTCCCTGCTGGCCCTCCCCTTCCCAGATTCGCAACATTGGAATTTCGGCGCATATCGACTCCGGCAAGACGACACTGACAGAGCGAGTGCTGTTCTACACGGGGCGCATCCATGAAATCCATGAAGTCCGGGGGAGAGATGGTGTGGGCGCCAAGATGGATTCGATGGACCTGGAGAGGGAGAAGGGGATCACCATTCAGTCCGCTGCCACTCACTGCATGTGGGGCGATCACCAGGTGAGGTTTGGGGTGATTCGAGGAGGTGTGGGGTGGTGTGGGGTGGTTTGGGGTGTGATTAGGAATGTAAAAGTGCTAGGCGGATGGGGGTGTAAGATGTATCAACCCAACTCTTCATGGTCCTTTTTTCGCATAATTAATTTCTTCCCACCGTTTCTTGACCTCAACAGGTGAACATCATTGACACACCGCCAGGCCACGTGGATTTCACCATCAATGTCGAGCCGAGCGGGCTTTAAGGGTGTTAGACGGATTGTACTAACCAAACCAAACACTTCCCTCCGCTCTCCCTTCCACAGGTGAACATCATCGACACACCGCCAGGCCATGTGGGTTTCACCATCGAGGTCGATCGGGCTTTACGGGTGCTGGACGGAGGGGGTGTTTTTAACCTGCCTAACCCTTTCCCCAACCTTTTCTTGCCTTGTTTCTACCCCATGTCTTACTGTCAACAGGTGAACATCATCGACACACCAGGCCACGTGGATTTCACCATCGAGGTGGAGCGCGCTTTGAGAGTGCTGAACTGATTGTATGGTGCCCCCCCCCTCCTCCTTAACAGGTGAACATTATTGACACGCCAGGCCACGTGGATTTCACCATCGAAGTTGAGCGGGCTTTAAGAGTGTTGGACGGGGCTATTCTGGTGCTGTGCAGCGTTGGAGGCGTGCAGAGCCAGTCTATCACCGTCGACAGGCAGATGAGGCGATACAGGTGGGTGGGGAGCGGTACAGGTGGGTGGGGAGCGGCACAGGTGGGTGGGTGAGGCTAGGGGGTTTAGGCATGAGAGTGTTGGACGGGGCTTTTCTGGTGCTGTGCAGCGTGGGAGGCGTGCAAAGCCAGTCTATCACCGTCGACAGGCAGATGAGGCGATAGAGGTGGGTTCCGAACTGCGTTTCAGGGTTTAATAGGGGGTTAACAGGAGTCTGGGGGGTTTATTCTCAACCAAAGGGTCCTGGACGGGGCTATTCTGGTGCTGTGCAGCGTTGGGGGCCTGCAGAGTCAATCACCGTGGACAGGCAGATGAGGCGATGCAGGTGGGTGGGACTCTTGGGATCTGGGTTCAACAGGGTTTGGGGTTTAGTCTCTTCCAAGGGTGCTGGACGGGGCTATTCTGGTGCTGTGCACCGTGGGCGGCGTGCAGAGCCAGTCAATTACTGTTGACCGACAGATGAGGCGATATAGGTGGGTGGGGAGCGGTACAGGTGGGGCTGTCGTCAGGTTCGTTATCAGATCAGGATCTACTCTTGAGGGTGCTAGACGGGGCTATTCTGGTGCAGTGCAGCGTGGGCAGACTGCAGTGCCAGTCCATAACCGTGAAGGACGGGCAGATGAGGCGATACAGGTGGGTGGGGAGCTAATGACAGCATGTTCAAAGGGGTTCAGGGTTTAGGGTTTACAATGCTATTGAGGGTGCTCTCCCCCTCCACCAGTGTGCCTCGTGTCGAATTCATCAACAAGCTCAATCGCACAGGGGCAGACCCCTGGAAGGTGGTGGGGTGAGATTCACTTCGTCGTTCTACCCTCTATCTACCCTCTTCCCACCCTCCCTCCCCTTTCTCCGTCCACCAGCGTCCCTCGCCTCGCCTTTATCAACAAGCTCAATCGCAGACCCGTGGAAGGTGGTGGTGTGTGTTTGTCTCTTCCCCCTTATCCTACCCTCTCTGCCCCTCCCCTCTCCCTCCACCAGCGTCCCTCGCCTTGCCTTCATCAACAAGCTTGATCGCTCAGGGGCCGACCCGTGGAAAGTGGTGAGGGGCTCTGCGGTTCTCAAGGTTCAGTTCTTGTTTGTTTTGTGCCTCCCACCCCCCTCTCTCCCTCCACCACTGTGCCTCGTCTAGCGTTTATCAACAAGCTTGATCGCACAGGGGCAGACCCCTGCAAGGTGGTGGATGAGTGGGTGGGTGAGCTTCTCACCTCTCCGTTTGTGCCCACTTTCTTCCCTCGTTTTTCCCCCATCCTCCTCTCTCTCTCCCCCAGTGTGCCTCGCCTTGCATTTATCAACAAGCTTGATCGCACAGGGGCAGACCCCTGGAAGATGGTGGGGTCGGTGGGTGAGCTCCCCACGTCTTTATACCCCATTTTTCCCCTGTTTCAATCCTTTCTTTTCCCCCAACTCCTCTCCCTTGTCCCCCCACCAGTGTGCCTCGTCTAGCATTTATCAACAAGCTTGATCGCACAGGGGCAGACCCCTGGAAGGTGGTGGGGGTTCCCACCTATACCACCTACCTGCCCTCCTTTAATCCTCACTTTTTTGCCATCTTCCACTCTGTCTCCCCCTCAGTGTCCCTCGTCTAGCATTTATCAACAAGCTTGATCGCACGGGGGCAGACCCCTGGAAGGTGGTGGCGGCTCTGCGGTCCAAGCTGAAGCTCAACGCTGCTGCGGTACAGGTGGGTACTGTGCGGTGAATGTGAGTGCTGTGCAGTGAACGTGGGTGCTGTTCTACTGCTGTGTATGACATTCTGTTGTATTCGTATATGTGGTGTTGGTGAC